CCCCACTGTACTCTGTCTCTAGCCTTTATTTTTAAGCCTGCACTATTGCAGAGTTGGGAATGTGATTCAGTGAACAGCATCCTTGCATGCATGAGATGTGTATTTGATCCCTGTCACTCCAAATAAAAATCTATTGCAAAGAGAAACTGTTGTGTATATACTTAATATTCCTCAATTTCTTATCTTTTGCGGGGGGGGGGGGGGATGATTTGGGCTATACCCAGTGGTGCTCAGAGCTTACCCCTGGCATTTTGCTCAAGGATCAATTGGTCCAGGTGGTGCATAGGGACTGTACTTGGGTTGGCCATGTGCACTGCAAGTGCTATCTCTATTTTAGTGCTATCTATAAATTTCACTTTTTTCCTTATTTTTGAAAGTAGTAAAAATAATTGTAATTTGGAATTCAGGGATGATTATCTTGAAGCAGATTTGCATTTTAAAATGTTCTTATGGGTCGGGAAGATAACTCAGTTGTTAAGGCACTTTGAGTATGAAATACCCGAGTTTAATCTCCATTACTACTGGATGTAGTCCCCCAAACCGCTGGACCCAAGCATTCCCATATTACTGGGTCTTGTGTTGAACCTTCCAGCCTGGAGTGGGTCCCGAAGACCCCTTGAGCATTGCGCGGGAGGATAGGATTATCCTCCCACCAAATGTTCTTGTGATCTGTATTCGTGTCGTTGCAAAGTTAATTATACCTTTTAAAACAACTGTCTATGAAGATCTTTATATGGGTGTTTAGGGTTGTAAATGTCTGTGTTTTGTATATAAAAACTTAGAAGAGTACCTGGCTTATAGTATGTCTTCTGTTAGTGACTGCTCTAAACTTTTCTTTTGTTCCTTTTCTCACCTTTTTTGGGGAAAAGTTTTCCACTTTGTGATAATCAGCATTTTAAGTTTTAGTAGTTCAGTTAATTACCAGCTATAAAGCCAAGCATTAGGCGATACCCAGAATATAGTCCATTTTTCCAGACCATAGAGAATATGTGAGTATGAGAATAAGTGGAGCTATGGAGAGCTAGAAAATCATGTCTATGGGTTGGTTGATAGGTGTAAATACAAGGAAATCAAGGTGTCCATGGTTGTCTATTACTATCTTTTTTGTCCTCCTGGTCTAGTAATATGATTGTACTTTTTAGCTCTTGTTGAAAAGGTCATGTATCACTGTAGGCCATTGAATTTTAAATATAAATTTTGTGTGTCATTTGGTGGTTCTCCAGAATTCTCTTTCCCTCTGGGGCACTGACTATTGTTGATAGACTCATGGCTGCTGGCAGCTTGTGTTCTTGTCTGGCTCTGATGTATGGACTACTCCTTCCACTTTTTAGTGGATATGATTTAAATAGCATGATTTGAAAAATAGACCTGAGATGTTTTAAACTCCTTAGATTTGTGATTGTTTAAAATACACACCATGCTGGAATCTTACTGTGTTTCCATGTATGTAAACACTGCTGTATTTGACTGTAGGCATGTACTTTTTTGTTGTTGTTGGTGGTGTTGTTTTGCTTTTTTGGGTCACACCCAGTGATGCTCAGAGTTTACTCATGACTTTATACTCAGGAATTATTGCCAGTGGTGGTTCTTAGGGGGCCATATGGGATACTGGGGATCAAACCCAGGTCTTTCACATTCAAGGCAGGAGCCCTATCTGCTGTACTATCGCTCTGGCCCTGATTTGGGGTTATTTATTATTGTTGTGACATATAGCCTGTTCGGGCAAATAGAGATTCATCATTTGTTATTTGTTCTTTGAATGTTCATCTTCACAACATTCCTATGATGTTAGGAGGCAAGGACCAAAGAGTCATCAAGAGTGTATAAAAATATAATGTCAGAATGGGAACAAAAGATGGAGGGCAGGGCTGGTCTCTGTGCTCTTCCCTTGAAGTGTTAGAAAAGTAATTCAGCAATCAAAACTTTATATGAGTTACATTTATTTAGAGATTCATATTTTCTTTGTCAGTCTGAAAACAGTAATAAAAATAGGTAGAAAACAAATACATCAGGGAACCAAGATTTGGGACGAAGAACAATATTAGAGAGCTAAAGGTTTAGTGGCACAGAAAGTAGTACATTTCCTCAATTCTTGAGCATCAGAAGTTCACACCCACACATAAATGCTAATATGGGCACATATGTTTCTAGTTTTATAAACTCCACTTGTGATAAGTCTTCACAATCCTTGAAATACCACATCACCACTAAGTCCTACCTGTATATAGTTATTTAAAATTGCTGTCTTTGTCCTTCCTGCCTCCTGTCCTGTGCCCCAGGCCCCCCACCCCACCCCCCAGTCGGTGTACATCTGATCTCCTAATCTGTTTCCTTCCATAGCTTTTAGCACTTTTAAACACATATTTAGCAAATTTTTACATCTCCTTTTCTAGAATGCAAGCACTACAATGAAAGGTATCTTCCTTCCTTCCTTCCTTCCTTCCTTCCTTCCTTCCTTCCTTCCTTCCTTCCTTCCTTCCTTCCTACATCCTTCCCTTCCTCCCTCACTCCACGCTGACTGTACTCCTGACTTTGCACTCAGGAATCACTCCTGGTGGTTTCAGGGGATCAAATTTGGGTATGCCGTGTGCAAGGCAAGCCTCCCTATCTGCTGTACAATCTCTCTGGCCTCACCCTAGAAAGATTTTTAATGTATTTTCTTCACCAAGGACAGTGCGTGGTATATAATAGTATTTGTTGAGTTGGAGTACAATTCATGAAAGATAAACAGGAAGATGATCTGGATAAAAATAGCCACCTTGCTGTTCCAAGAAGAGAGATTAAATCTGATGCAATTTTGTGACCTAGACCACATTTTAAACCACCAGTTTTATTGTCTTACTCCCGATCACCAGTTTTTTAAAATACCAGTCAAGCATAATTAAGCTTCTATGCAAAAAAATCAACATATCATGTTTAAAGACCCAGTTTTGCCTGAGAGAGATAGGAATTTCTTCAGAAAGAAAATTTTTAGGAAAGAAGTGGACATTGATCTAGTTTAAGTGATGGATAGAATTCAACTGGACACACTATCTATGAGGACTTTTATAGACTAATTGACTATGATACATTTATAAGAGTGTTGTTATGCTTTTCTGATTGTTTTATATATGTGTGTTTTATTGTCATTTGTCTCTGTGTCCTGTGTTTGAGGCAGGTGTTCTTAACTTTGGCTGCACACTCAGAATTATTTGAAGTACCTTAAAAATATTGATGCATGATGGGACTGTAGAGATAGTATAGTGGGTAAGGCGCTTGCTTTGCATGTAGCCAACCTGGGTTTGAGCTCTAGCATCCAGTATAGTTCCCCAAACACCACCAGGAGTAATTTCTGAGTGCAGAGCGCAGAGCCGAAGATAAACCCTGAACATTGACGAGTGTGCCTAAAACACTGAAAAAAAAAAAAAAAAGAAAAATGTTGATGTGTGTCTCATCTGAGCCTTGGATGTGCCAGGACCCCAGGAATTTAAAAGGTTATAAAGTGATTTTACTTTGCACCAAGTTTAAGAAACCAATAGCTCCAAGTATTTCTCAGTTAATTGATACTTGCTTTCTTCTAATTGGTCTTTTTGAGTTTCATACTAGAATAAAGTGAAGTGTTTAGAAATGGGATTGTAGAATCAAGTCCTTGAAATTTTAAAAGCATATTTATAGTCATTAACCAGACCAGAAATGGAATTAAATGAGCACATATATGAATAAGATAGTTTTCAGACTCTTTAATTTATGTATGGATAGAGAAGGAGATTAAAGTTCTGTTTTAGTTTTTTTAAAGTTCTGTTTTAACTCTATACAAATAAAAGTCATTTGACTGACTTAGTAAAAATTAAACAAACCTGTTTTTATAGTCTATAATAAATATAATTCCTCTTTAGTATAGTTAAGGAAATATATTGCTCAAACATTTGTTGATTTTTGTCACCTATTTTAATGTAACAATACTCTGGTATCATAAGAGATCTTTATTTGGTCTTCTAATAGGATGTTGGCCAAGGATTTGTGAACTCAAATAGTTACTGACTAAAGATATCAGAGATCTTCCAGAAAGTGATTAAAATGAGCTTTAATCCACTTTTCTTTTTTCATTCTGAAAAGTAAAATAATTTGTTTTCAGCTGAGAGTTGGACATTAAGAATAAATTAGGGATGTTTTCTGCTTCCTTTTCCTTAATTTTTTGGTTTGAAGTATACAGAAAAATATATCTTACAGTATGAAATGTAACAGGGTTGCAAAATTTTTTAAGTCTATATGATATGTTGCATAATGTCTAAAAAAAGGTGGAACTCAGTGAATTAAGCAGTGGGTGTACAGTCAGTATTTTCTATTAATGGCTGTGCTGTCTCTCTCTCTCCTCTCTCTCTCTTTCTCTCTTTATATATATAATATGTATTTTTAATGGGGCAAAGTTATACTTGATCTATATTATTCATTATTTTGAAACTTTGGTTATATATATGTATATATATCCATATATATATATATATGTATAAAACCAAACTGCCCATTTAGCCTATTTTCCTATCTGAAAACCTGGGGGAAAGGATACCTAATGCCAGGTTTGTTATTGAGGTGTAAAGATATTTAATTTAATTCAGTTTATTTTGGACCTCTTAAGTAGTTTTGTGACAATCCAGGGACCACTCCTGGTGATACCAATGCTGGGGCAGAGGTCGCAGGTGGAACAGGCAGTGTTTTGTTTTTGTTTGTTTGTTTGTTTTTGTTTTGAACTCAGGCCTCTGCAGGCCAAACAGACTCCTATCGTTTGAACTGTCTTCCTAGCTAGAGAGAAAGGACTTCAAATTCTCATTGCAGTGTCTTCCCATAGTTGGTCTGTACAAAAGAGTAGTTTCCTGGTTTTGGTGTTGAGGTATTCTAGTAAAATGGGGTCTGGAAAAATGGTACAGTGGATAGGACACTTTCAAAAAACAGCATTGTTAGCATTTATTAAAAATATTTTGTGGGATTTGCTCTTGAATGCCTTTCTTTTATAATCCCTGTAGGTATCTTCTCATCCGATTACTCTTGTTCCTGAAATCTGAGTATTCCATCAAGATAATGATAAGTTTCAGTGATTTGGGGCCATATCCAACTTAACCCAATGTAGGCTTTCCAGACATCTCAGGAGCTAGGTCTAATAGTATACACTGCTTGGTGATTGGCCATAATGCCATCTCTGCCTCAAGAAACAGGTAAGCAGATTTATTTAGTGGTATAGAGTATGAGAGTTTTTTTTTAAAAGAATTAAAAACTATTCGGAGATTCTTTTTTAAAATTATTTTTAAATTTTTTTATTAGTGAAACACTATGAGGTACAGTTGCATACTTACAAATTTTTGTGCTTGGGTTTCAGTTATACAATGATCAAGTACCCATTCCTCCACCAGTGCCCATCCTCCACCACCACGGGTCCCAGCATCCCTCCCACCCCCCATTCCCCCCATCCCACCCTTGTTCTTTCTCTCTTCTTTTGGGTACTGTGTTTTGCAAGAGAGGCACTGAGTGGCAATCATGTTTGGTCTATAGTTTACTTTCAGCATGCTTCTCCCACCCTGGGAGGATCCTCACAACACCAGAGATTCTTAAAGATTTAAAACTTATAATTTTAGTTGGGGGTGGCATTTTTAATTTATGGTATAAAATTCGAATGACCAGTAATGTTTAGTTTACAGAACTTTATATTTCTTTTATAGTTATCCAGGGATCCTCTCCCTTGGATCTGAATACAGAATTGCCTTATCAAGACAAGACAAAAGGGAAAGTCAGAAAGAAGAAAAAGAAGGGAACCATCACAGCAAATGTTGCTGGGACAAAATTCGAAATTGGTAGGTCTCTTTGAAGTCATGATTTTTCACAAAATTTGAAAAAGTAGTTTGATGTTGTAATCAATACAGAAATTCAGAGAGATGTTTTCTCGTGTAATAAATCTTTAAATGCTTTTAAATTTTTCTTTGTCATGCTTTTGTTAACTATTTGTCAGTAGTTAAATAGGACCACAGTGTAAACTAAAAACTTTAGTTATTTAGTGAATTAGGATTAAATATAATATTTTGATTAATTTTAAAAACAAGTAAAATAAATATTTATAAAAATACAAAGGTCTAATCCCAAGATTTGAACTGATCTTTGTATATTTATGTATTTAGAAAAATTGTCACTGTCACTGTCACTGTCCTCCTGTTGTTCATCGATTTGCTCAAGCAGGCCCAGTAACGTCTCCATTGTGATACTTGTTACTGTGTTTGGCATATTGAATACATCACGGGTAGCTTGCCAGGCTTTGTCGTGCGGGTGAGATACTCTTGGTAGCTTGCTGGGCTCTCTGAGAGGGGCGGAGGAATCGAACTCGGGTTGGCCATGTTGGCTGCATGCAAGGCAAATGTCCTACCCGCTGTGCTATCTCTCCAGCCCAGAAAAATAGTATGTATTTTTCATGGGACAAAGTTATGCTTGATCTATATTATTCATTATTTTGTAACTTTATATATTAGATGTCCAATGAAAAGTAAAAAATTTGTGGTTTTTTAAATTATTTAATGAGAGTCTAATTTATATAAAGAATAAAATATATCTCTATGCTTAACAATCCTTTGCTAATACTGTTCTTTGAAAAATTGAAATTTTAGATTTCATATTTAAGTAGTATCTTTAATATAAAGCATATATAAGAATCAGTTGCTATAGATTAAGATCCTTTTGACCAGCATTGTAAAAGTCATATAAATACTATAGTACTCAAATAATTATTACCTCTTCTTTATATTTAAAAATTAATAGAATTGAGGAAAATTAGGAACTTAAGGATATTCATTATTCTTACCCTTACTTTGTGAGTTTCAACTCTATACTAATTCATCAAATTTCAGGTGTCAGTGAACTATTTCATTAAAATTGAAGTCCCCCAATAGTTTCCGAACAGATGTTCCTCAGAGGAACATACCTGAAGCAGCTTAGTGAGAAGATTTTCCAACTTAGTGGGAAATTTCCAGAGTCTACTAGCACCTATTTTAAAGCATGAAAGCACAATCATAAGGTACCATTGTAAAAGGGATCTCTGAATGGTGTTCAATTTTCCCTTGATAGCAATGAGGTTCTGGTGGGATTCATTGGGGACCATTGATTTAAAGGAGACTGTTTTAAGTTTTTCAAGGGATGAAATTCTATTAGCCTTTGTCAGGGACATTTCATACCACTTTTTATTCTACCCAGTAGTGTACATCACTGCTGAGTAGAACTTACGGCTACATTAGGCTTAGAAGGTTGGATCAGAGAATAGTTGGGATGAAAAAAACCAAGCACAGAGGAGAGAAAGAGATTTGGTCATGTGTCAAGAAGAAGGGGCTGTCTTCTTTTCTGTTACTTAACCCAGTGATAAGCCATTGCTTATGTTTTGAAATGTGATTAGTGTTCATTTAACAGGTTAAATAATAAAACAGAAATAAAATCAATCCAGATTCAGGATACTTGTATTTTCATCTTGGTGTTGCCTTTTTTTTTCATGCAGAATTCTTGCTACTGGTTTTAGTATTAGCCCTCTTAAACCATTGACTCAGTATTTCTACACACATGATTTGACTTAATTATACAAATAAATCTGAAATGGACTGTGTAGTTCTGATGCTGCCTTTTATCTTTGTCTTTCTTCCCTCTGTTAATAAATTTGGAGTGCTCAATAGCTATAAGAAAGTAAATAAGGAAAAATATAATAAAATAAGATGGCTCTGGTGGCTGATAATTTCCTAATTTTACATAGTAACTGTTCTAGAATGATGAAGTAGCTTCTCACTGTACTTGTATAATTAATACATTATAACATTTCGCATAATTATTTTATGTAATGTCTCTTATGGCACAAATGAAAAAACTGAAGCTCTGTGAGGCCATGCAGATTAAGCAAGGTCACACAGATGGCAAATGTGGAACATGAACCTGAATTAATCATTTGATTCTAAATTCACTGATCTTTTTACAATTATTATGCTCCCTAAATAAAACATGATGAAATTTATAATGATGAACATTAAAGTGCATTCTGCATCTAAACTTTAGAGCATAATGCTTGGACCGTATTTTTTTAAAAAAAAAAGCTTCTAAAAGTTCTGTAGATTAAGGCAAAATAAAAAAAATAGGATAAATTTGTATGGAATTAGTTGTGTGGTGGTTTCTTTAAATGGGGACAGAAAAACTTGGAGAAGAGGGTTCTCAAATATGCAGAGAAATGTGAAAAAATGGTTGACATGATTATCTTTATTTTACCGATTATTTCATATCTTTTAATGAACAGTGCTTCCGAAAGACCAACATTTAAAATCATTGATTTGGCTTCAGCTATCAACCACCTGGGATTGCCACTTTAAAAGAATTTCACCTGTCTCTCTCTCTTTCTCTATTCCCTCCCTCCCTACCTACCTCCTTCCTTCCCTTCCTCCCTTCCTTCCTTCCCTTCTTCCCTCCCTCCTTCCCTCCTTCCTTCCTTTTCCTGTCCCTCCCTCCCTTCCTTTTTTTCATTGTTTCTCTGTTCAGGGATCACTCCTGGTTGGACTGTGGGATTATATGCCATGCCAGGAATTAAATCTTGGTTGGCCTTAGGAAAGGCAAGCACTTTACTCACTGTACTATTTCTCTTTCCCCAATAGTTTCTTTTCTGTGATGTGGAGGATGATATCCTTAAAATGGTGTCAGTTTCCTTTTTAACACTTGGAGCATATGTGTGATTGAATAGTACAGTTACAAAAAAGTGAATTTGATACCCATTATTGTAGTTTTCTTTGAAGTCCAATTTTTTCAGTTCTCCAAGCTTTGAATTTCCTAATAAAATAGATATTACATATAAGTAACTTTACAAATATGATTTTATGAATGTAAAGAAATGTTAAATATTTTCCATTACTATATGATATTTCTTACTAGCTCTATACAGAATAATTCTCAATAATAATAATTATACTAATTTTCATAGTAGTAGTTCACTCTGACTATACCACAATTTCTGTCACTAAGATTTTTTTATTTATTTCTCTTTATTTATTTACTGCTCTGAGCAGTGTTTGTCACATACTACGAAACAGGTCAGCTTTTCGACTTTCTTGGCATTTACCTCTGAGGCAGTTTATTTTTCAGGATGCCAGGATTTTGTGTCGCTTCTTGTTGTTTAGCAGTCCTGAGTTCTCAGATGCCAATGCAACATGGTGGCTGGTGGCAGAAGAGAGAGGAATTGCCCTTTTGCCAACTTTTGTATTGTATTTGTCAGTTGGGCCTTCAGAACAATCCCAAGTTTAATCAGCCTCTCGTGGAAAATACCAACCTCAACTCTACAATCCTCTCTCTCATCTCATCTACTCCCAATCACTTCTTTCATGTTTGTGTTCTAGGCACTATTACATAAAAGGTTCTTTCTCTTCAACCAAAAAACAATCAAGAATCCCCAGAACTTGAGCCCAACAGTATCTTATCCTCAGTTTTATATCTGATTCAAGTAAATTCAAACAAATGAGTTCTTTTCAACATTTTGCTCATGTATGTTGCACTGATAAAGGAAAGTACCAATAAAGGAAAAAGGGAAAAAATAAAACATTGACTGCTAGTAGACAACTATATGATAGATACATCATTCTGTCAGTACTCAGAAATGTTGAAACTCAAAATTTATCCTGTTATTTTACTTTTGTTTTAAACTTTGACTTCCAATAAAATTTATAACTGTATGTACTGAAAAATAAACTATTTTAGAGTGTGCTATTTGTGGTCTGCACATAAATAGAGGGCATATCAATAGTTTTAAATATAAGCTTTTCTCTGAGCGTATTTTTTTCAGCAGGAATAGAGAGTTGGGAGTTTAAAGGAGAATCAGAATTCAAATACCTACTACAAACTCTGCTTCATTATTTAATAGCCTGAGTCAACATAACTGAATTGCTATTAACTTCTAAAAATTATTTGAACTGGGGAGGTGTAAATTATAGGATAGTTCTGATGATATTTTTATCATTTTTATTTTGTACCTAATGCAAGATCACAACAATCCATCAAAGTACGTTTTCCAAGAAGAGGTATTGCCTCAGCTATGTGCATGTTTTCATTTTGCCATGAATAATAACTAAATTCTAGTTGTTTTGTGTATCCTTTAAGTATTAGAAGAACTGAAACTAAGAATTTGTGAGGGTCTAAAAATAGTTCTGTTACTAGTGAGTATATTATTAGTAAGTAGGAACACATTTTTCATAAACCTTTTTAATCCTGCTAAGACTATCTATGGTCATGAGTACAAATTAGACCCCTTTTTAGACCATCTGTGACTGATGTCAAGATATCCATGATCCAAACTAATTAAATATGCTATGGTGTGTCACACACCTATAGTGCTTCTCTCTAACTATATTGGATCCCAATCCTGATCTTTTGACCCACTTCATATCTCTTCTGCATCTTCCCCTTGGAGATGAACAGATAAAGCTGATTTTTATTTGTTTCTTTCTTTTTTTGTTTCTTTATAGGTAACCTATTTTTTGAAATGAAAGCACATATTAGTTTTTCCATTTCTGATAATGTGAAAACAATGTATTGTTTAATCTGGCAAATATAATAAATAAATAAAAATAAAATTATACTATAACTAATGGACATCTTGCAGATGAATTACCATGAATTAAAATGTTACAGGCCAAAAATGTTTCCACAATGAATATATTTCAGAGGATTTTAAATTTTAGTTTAACTGTTTATTTGCAGTTCGTTTAGTAATAGATGAGATGGGATTTATAAAGGCTCCAGATGAGGACGAAACAAGTAACCTTATATGGTGTGATGCTGCAGTTCAGCAGGAGAAGATAGCAGAATTACAAAATTATCAGGTAAGAAGTTGATCGTGAAGTAAATTATGATTAATAATTTTTTTGTCATTATAAAAATTGTGTGGTTGCATTTCAATTTACTTTGGATAGGGTTCTTAATATTTCACCTTACTTACCTGAATAGGGTTTTTTTTGTTGTTGTTATCCTGTCGTACTGACTTCATGAAGCCTACATCCTTTCAAACTGAACTTCTAACCTCTTTCCATCTTTAAAGAAAAAGTGATGAGTTGCCCCCCACGAGTGGCTCTCCGGCACGGCCATGGCCCCAGAGGCACACAAACCAATTTGGGAACTATGCAGCTTTTGGCAGAAATCCCTCCAGACATAATTAGTAAAATATCAGAAATCCGAAATTGCATGGCCGCTATCACGGCCGTGAGATATCATATGCTCTTCATAATCAGCAATAGAAAACAAATCATTTCACAATGCCTTTTCAGCAGGTCTGATTGTTGGGGAAAAATTCCAAATAATAATGGTGCATCTTTTGTTGAAATAATGAATGTATTCAAAGTAGAGAGAGAATTCAGTGGAAATCATCTGCCTCACAGGCAGGGGGAGGGGTGGTATGGGGGGTATATTAGGTTTCCTGATGGAAGGGGTGGGATGGGGGCATATATTGGGTTTCTTAGTGGTAGAAAATATGCACCGGTAAAGGGATGGGTGTTTGATTATTGTATGACCGAGATTTAAACCTGAAAGCTTTTTAACTGATCTCATAGTGATTCAATAAATAATTTTTTAAAAAAGAAAAAAAATAGTGATACAAGAAACATTTTTATAGGCTGGTTCTCTATACTTTGCTCAAAGATAAGAGTGATATTGAGCAGATTATGTAGGGAGATCAAGATATGGAAATACCTTGTAATTTTAGCTGTGTAAATTCGACTTTATTTTTCTATTTTTTAAATGGAATATAAGCTGGTAGTAAGAGAGTAATGCAAAATTCACTATGTGAAGCAAATTAAGTACATTTTCACAGGTTTTCTATGATACCAATAGAAAAATCATATGATGTATCGTTATATGATGCACATTAAGTTTATAGTACCAAAATAATTTGGATATTGAACTTCCCACTATTAATTACATCCATGTAACTTTTATATCCACATAAACTCCTTTTATTAAATCTTTAAAAGTTATAAATTTAATTCTCTGGTTACCATAGACTTTTTTGATTCCATAAATTTGTTGAAGGTCTTTTAAATTTTAAATGTTTTTACAATGGTTAGCACATTAAAAAATAACATTCAAAGGTTAAATGTAACTATATCATAGTATTATAATGTATGATGATATTCATTCAGCTTGTTGAGCATACTAATATGGATTTTTTTTTTTTTTACAGAGGATCAACCATTTTCCAGGAATGGGAGAGATCTGTAGAAAGGATTTCTTAGCAAGAAATATGACCAAGTAATCTTCATTTTCTTTTACTCTAGAGAAGACCTGCTTAAAGTTTGTAGTTTGAATGTTACAGTGCTATATTTCACAGGGTTACACTGGTTTTAATCGATATGTTGGTATATTTCTTAGAGACAGAAGAATCTTAAAAGTTCCCTAATTCTGTTTCTACATTTTTCCGTGGATATTACTGAGAGTCAGAGGTCCTGAATGTCTTCCATCAAATTAAACAAATTATTGGATGGGAACAAAATTCCCATTTCCATAATCCTAGGATTGTTTTTTACTACAGCTTATTTTTTTTTTCTAGCAATGAAAGTTTTTCTTTAAATTTCAGAGGACATCTGGCCATGGCATTCAATATGTATTATTTATCTATAGTTATCTTGTAAGAACAAATTTGTTCCATTTATAGCATTATATGCTATATGGATGTGTAGTGTCCTATTATACTGCTTATTGAGTAATAGATATCATAGACTTTAAGGGGTATAGGTCTGCACAGACATACAGATAGATACTGTGGCTTATCAAGAGTATGCCTGCCCAGATATTCATCTATGAATCAAGATTTAAAATACTAATGTGCTTTTCTGGAAATGCTGTTAACAGACCATTTGAGCATGATCAATAAGATCTGTCAGTGGGTAGAACTTACATTTTAGTACAGAGAAAGACTGATACAAACTGTTTAATTGTGCTACAGTAGAGACAGGGACAAAGATGGTAGGTGAGATCATCATGAGGAGAACTGAGATCATTTACTGGAAATTAACATATGAAATGGATGTCACAAGGTTTATTGAAATGTTTGAAAAGAAGGCAGAAGGCATTTAAAGAAGAAAATATTTGGAAAAATGTATGGAAAAAGCGTGGAAATTTAAACATTTTTGATGGTTATTTACATAACCATCTGTGCATGTATCCTGGGTGGTTTAAAATCAAGTGATGCTGGAAACCAATACAAAGGCTAGCATATATATGCCATATTATTATATTTTATCTAATAATTTAGACATTGGTGCTTTAAACTCTTTTCTTTAACAGAGACGAGGGTAACCAAAATGAGGAGTTACTTACAGTTTATAGCCAGAAAATAATATGTTTCAAGACATTCACTCTTTACGGGGGCTGGAGCAATACAGAGCAATAGTACAGTGGGTAGGGTTCTTTGTTGTCTCACCTGGACAACCCAGGTTCTCTTTATGATGTGCCATATGGCCCCCCGAGTTCTGCGTGGAGTGAGAGCCATGAATAAACCCAGAGTACTGCTGGCTGTGGCCCCCAAACAAAACAAAACAAAACAAAAATAAAATTCTCTCTGGAAAGAATCCCTACAAGTAAAGTATGTAAGAAAACTTACTTTTGTCCGCTCGAGCAAATCAATGAACAACGGGAGGACAGTGCTACTTTAAAAAAAATTAGGCACCATGAATTACGAAGTTATTCATGATAGAGCTTCAGAAATGAATGCACTGTTCCAGACCAGGGTCTATATATAGTGTCCATGTCCCTCCACTAGTCACCTCAGTTCTCTTCCTATCCACCAGCTTGCCTCTATGATAGGCTCTTTTAAAATGAAATATTAGGGAAAAAAAGGACTTCAGAGAAAATGGCATTATTACATTAATTTTTAAATATGTATTTAAGTCAGTTATTTTCATTCAACACACACACATACACACATGTATATATTTTTGGTTTGCTGCTGGGTACAGCAGTGCTCAGGAGCTACTCCTGCTGAGTTCTTGGGGTTTTCCTCCTAGCAGTGCTCAGAGGATGTAGTTCTGGGAATTAGAAGTGGGGCATATAGTGCCAAACCCTTGTTTCCTCCTGTATGCAAAACATGCACTCCAGACTTTGAATGATCTCTTGACCTGCATATTTTTTATATGTCAAGTCATCTGCTGGGATCTGGATACTTGAGTAATCAAAAGCAGCTTAACAACTTATATAATTTTGCACTGTGAATTGTGAGGGTGCCTTGAAGTAATGGTACATAGTTCTGAGTTAGTGTGTCGTGCAACTTCTGTCTTAGGCAGTGGAGTCTTTCCATGAGGAAGTGATAAGGGAGGTAGAATATGAATGATGAATAGGAGTTTACTGGTGAATATGATTGGTAATCACTTTCTAGGCAAGAAGAGTAGCATGGGTCAAGGTTATACAATGGAAAAAAATACAGATATTCAGGAAAGGGAAATTGGACCAAGTATAACTGAAACATAGGGAAGCTGATGGGAAATGGTGGAGTCATTATCAGAATGGTGATGTTCAGGAAGGTAGTTTCCATCTTTAATGCCAGGGGAGGTTAGGGGTGATGAAGTGGGTAATATGACTTGATTTACCATGTGAAAAATTTTCATACTGGCAGTGTGTTAGAATACAAATGTCTTTGCAGCCAGGGATCAATGTAGGCCCATTAAGCAGGCTTTGGCAAGTGGTTTCTTATGTTATGGGCTCTTTGGAATTTGTGTCAAGGGAAAAATGGTTAGATAAAAATTATGACCTAGTAAATCCATGACAGAATTGTAATAAAATGTTTCCTAAAGTCCTGGGGCTAGAGAGATACTACAGTGGGTAGGGCACTCTCCTTGAACACAAGAGACCTGGGTTGAACCCTGTCACCCCATATGGTCCCCTGAGCCCTGCCAAGAATGATCTCTGAACTCTCTGAGCACAGATCCAGGAGTAATCTCTGAGCACCATTGTGTGGCCCAAGGGGAAAAAAAGTTTCCTAAATTCTTAAGCAAGACTTCATGTCTCTTTTGAAGATATACATTTTAACATCAAATGATTTGTACTATATAATCTAAATAAAGTATTCCACATGGACTTGGAGTTTTCCAAATGTGTATGAAAGAGTGATATAATTTATAAATACTACATGATTAGTTTATTTATTTGTTTGTTTGTTTGTTTGTTCACACCTGGTGTTGCTCAGGGCTTGCCTAACTCTGTGCTCTGGGATCACTCCTGGTAGTAGTCAGGGATTTGAAACCAGGTCAGCTGCCTACAAGGCGAGTGCTTACCTATTGTACTCTCTCACTGGCCTCAGTTTTAAAATACTTCGTTTTAATAAAAATTTTGAATTGCCTTCATATAATTTAGAAATGTAATGAATACATTTTAAAATACTGGAGATAAGAAGAAAAAACAGTAGAGGCAAGGGAGATTATCTCAAAAACTGGAGCGTGTGCTTTGCCTGTGAGAGGCTCAGCTTTGATTTCCCCGCAGTGCCTATTCGGAGTACCTCTGCAAATGGGTACGAGTTGCATGTAGCCCATGAGCCCCAACCAACCAACCAAACAAACAAACAATCCAAACAGGATATTTGCGCTATTATTACAGTTCCTTCAGGTATGTGTATGTGTGTCTTCAAACCAGTTCTCTCGGTGATTTATTCTGAATTTTACAGATGCAGTTGGTAAACTTTTTGTTTTTCATAGTGAAAATATAACTTCTTTACATGGTTCTTTGAAAAGTGCACTTGAAATCTAATAAGCACACGAGCCTCCAGCTGTCGATGCCAAGTAGGTTACATATCCCACACCCGAGTGTTGGAATTTAGGCTCAACCTCCGTATATACCTCGTACTATTATCCTATTTTAGTTTTTACTGATATCATTTGGGGACATTATTTGCTCATCTATAAAAACATACACTTATAAAATAGATGTATTTGAAAAATATTTTAGTAGAAATATTTAAATCGTTTCTAATTTAGTTTTGTTAGTAATTGGTATATTAGAAAATAGCTAATGAAATTAAAAAAAAGCTAATGATTGAGACTGGTTAAAAATCAACAGGCCTAATACTATCCCTAAGGTTTGTATCAAATAGCTTAATTTGTAATAAACACAAAAATATCAGCACTGCAATGTAGCCATAAAAGTTACATAAAAGTAGAGAAATACAGTTCATGGAAACAAAACCTGCTGTTTAGAGACTTCGTGCCGCTTTCTCATAAAAGTTATTAAACCCCCAAAACCACTGCAGAAAAAACCAGTTGATCAAAAGCACACTGGCTTGGATGTGGCTCAAAGAGCATGCTTTGCTTCCGGGAGCCTTGGGATCCCAGAGCATGTGTATCTCCCCAAAACAAACACACACATGTTCCCTTCTGCTGATTCAGAGGATTTAGTTAGCTTTAGAGAAATTATATGGATGGCACCTGATGGTGAAGCCCTTCCTAATGCCCTCTTGTATACTTGAGTACTCATGAACTGTTCCACAGTATCACTTTGTCTTACATCTCTATATTGTATTTATCATATCGTATTTAACTAGTAACCTGTGTATTGATTCCTTAGAGAAGAGCCTGTATTAATTCATCTCAGCGTCCTTATTGTTCAGCACATATATGTACTCAAATATTTGAATCATTAATATGTAAATGAGCACCTAAGGCAGAGACTACAGTTGTTTTTGTTTAACCTTAGATTCACCTATCAAGGTGTCTGAACAGGTGTAATAGGTGCTGGTGGGAATTTAAACTCTAATTGATGGAAATTTAAAATCTTGCAGTAATTTTCAGTAGCAGAGAGAAGGTACATTTTGAAGATTTTTACTATAAATGACCTTTGATGTTATCTCTAATTTGTAGAATGATCAAGTCCCAGCCGCTGGATTATACCTTTATTCCTCGAACCTGGATCTTTCCTGCAGAATATACACAATTTCAGAACTATGTGAAGGAATTGAAGAAAAAACGAAAGCAGAAAACTTTTATAGTTAAACCAGCTAATGGTGCGATGGGTCATGGGTAGGTATTTTTCACTTGGAATATATAACAACTAAATAAAAATTTGAGAAAAATAATAAAATGGGTTTTTTATTGCCTTTTGGAACTATTAAATGAGCTCTATTATCCTGCTCCCCCCCACCCGACTTTATTCAATTTGAAATTAAGTCAACAAGTTGTGAAACTACTAAAACAGAGAGGAAAAAGGTTTTCTATTTTTTTCTTAAATGTTTTTCTTGAAATACAAATAAGATTTGTATTTTTAAATAATTTAAGATTGAACTTCATAAAAAAAAAATAAGGATATCCATTAGAGTTAAACTGAAAAAAGAAATGGAAAAGGAGATACCCATTTGTAGCTAGAAGTCAAATTTAAAGTAAAACATCTTCCTTGCTTAATGAATAAGTTTTAAAAGTCTGTTTTAAACCAGAAGTTTAGTTAAACAAAAAGACATTTAAAAATCATCTAGAATTTATTTCTTTTAGTATAAAAACACATTTTTTTACCTGTAGAGTCAACTACAAAAATGTTAGAAACTTGGACCTGATTTTACAATGATAAATGAAAAAATATTGAAATATTCTCTACTCAAACGAAAGTTTGCAATTATTTTTATGTTTTGATGGTGTTGTTGGTATTGTTGTCGTTAAAAACTGAGAACAAAATAACATACTGGGATAGATAAGATAAGAGCTGAATGTACACGACACCAATGGAAAATGTGGGTATTTTCACAGAGCCAGTATTTTTTTCCATTTCATCTCCATGTCAATCACAACAGGCCATCGTCCATTTAGTTAGAACTGTTGTGATTCAGACGTGTGTATAGCCTCATCCTTTATGTATAATGAAGAATTGACAAAGGAGAAACTGAAAGAATGAAAAATCATCAGAATGTGATGAACGAAAGGACAGTTTTTGAGTTGTCTTGTTGGTCTGGAGGAGCAGAGTTCTGGAACAAAGTAGCAGGTTTCTTGCATTAGCAGACAACACCTGTTTGTGGCTGGAAAACATCTATTGTATCTTGATCCTCCCATTTCCAACTGTGCAGGTGTGTGTTTCCTTGATTGGCTGCCCATCAAATCTGATCTACCACACCGACAAGCCAGCCATTCACTGTTGCCTTCATTAGTTTGCTAAGTGGTGTGTGACCCTTAATCTGCACCACATAACCTCTTGACCTGCCACTGGCAGGTTCTCAGTCTCTACTTCCCCCTGAGACTTTCCACTGGCCCTTGTAAGTGATGGAGTCTCCACATCCCTTTCCACAAATGATGTATCAGGGCCACTACTTAGTAAGTTTTTTATTATGTGGTCATGAAATTGGATTTAAAATGACTGGAAAATTTTGTTTTAGATGTTCTAGAACATTTTGAACTAGATATGTAAATGTGCTGAAAACTAGAAATGTTAAGATGAGACTATTGTATATCACTTATTTTTGTCTCCTTTTGATTATATTTTCTGAAGGTATTTTTTTTCAAGGAACATCTGAGGTTGCTCTTTATAGAATCATAGGTCATTTTATTCTCCTGTTTTAAAATGCTTTAGGAGAAAAAGATATTTGGAAATGAAGCTATCTGGCAGTTTATTCAACTGATTTTCTAAAAACTTTTAGGAATAATGTAATCATACATCATTTTAAATTGTGTACATCAGGTAGTGTTGTTTGAACTTCATAGTTAAAGTTGGTGTGCTTTATGTTAGTATCAAAATATTTTGAGGGATAATTGAAGTTTATATTTTTCACAATGTTAAAATTTTATATTTAAAATATTTATATATATATATATATATACTGCACTGTAGCATTGTTTTCCCATTATTCATCGATTTACTAGAGCGGGCACCAGTAACTTCTTCATTGTGAGACTTGTTGTTACTGTTTTTGTCATATTGAATACACCATGGGGAGCTTGCCAGGCTCTGCTGTGCGGGCAGGATACTCTCGGTAGCTTGCCAGGCTCTCCAAGAGGGATGGAGGAATAGAACCTGGGGCGACTGCATGCAAGGCAAATGCCCTACCCACTGTGCTATCGCTCCAGCCCACTCATATGTGGTACAAAGAGTAATAAAGAAAAGGAACAAACAATAGTCAGTAAAAACAAGAATCCTGGACTCAAAACTGAGATTACCAAGGGGAGGATGTAGAAGAGATGGGTTGGAGTAGAAGCAAGTTTAAAACAATGGCAAAAGGTCATTATTTCTTTGGTGGTAGTGGAGGTAAACAACCTTGTGTGCCAAAGCATAAACATAAAATTGAAAGCCATATTATTGTAATAAATGTTTCTTAAATAAATAGTGATGTTGGAATTATGTTCATGAGAAACCATTATTAACAGCATGTAAACCAAAGATTCTCAATGATTTTTCTTTTTACAAGAAAAAATAAAAAAGGCTATTTAGGGGGTTTGTTTTGTTTTGTTTGGGGGACCACACCTGGCAATGCTCAGGGTTTACTCCTGGCTCGCACTCAGAAATTACTCCTGGTGCTGCTTGGGGGACCATATGGGATTCCAGGGATTGAACCTGGGTTAGCCAAGTGCAAAGCAAGTTCCCAAGCCATTGCACTACTTCTCCGTCCCCCTTCTGGGAGTTTTATATCCCATATAACCAAAGGTCATAATATAACCATAGAATTGAAAAGAGAAAGTGACCTATTGTTCATGGTCTTTCTAGCCCCAAGATTTTTCTGAGACCTGGTCAAAAGGATCTGTGGTGACCTTTTCTGCCCATGTCTAGATTTTTAAACAAGGACCTACCTGCTTAAACCATGGTTGCAGTGCCATATGGGGTCATATTACTTACTATAGGAAGAGTCATCCCTGAGCACAGAGCCAGGAGTAAGCCCAGCACATAGTTAGTGTGGCCCAAAGAAGAACAAAAAATGCTTTTATTTAAAATAAAATTCTTTATGGTTATCTGGAAATATTTAATTAGGAAAATTAATCAGGCAAAAAGAGGTTGAGAGAGAAAGACACCTAAGTTCCTATGGTCTAGAACATTCCCAACACTAACAACCACGAAAAAGAGCAGAGAAATGGGATCCCTGTTAGAGAAAGAAGAAAGAAAAGACCCAACAGTAACATTATGGGAAATTCCTTATGTTTCCTTGTACCCTGTATCTGCAATATTCAGAACCAACTGCCATTAAGTCATGTGAGGTTATTGAGTATTTGAAATGTGGAGAACAGGAGTGATATATATATATATATGTATATATTTACCTTTATATCAAGATATATATATGTACATATATATATATATCAACCTCAATAACCACCTGTAACTAGTGGCTCCCTATTGAATGAGCTGTGTAGAGCATCTGATCACATTCTTACTCTCATGACTCACCGTGTCTAGCACCATTCCTCACACATCCAACAAAGACAGTAGCTATCTCTGGAATGACTATATCTAGAACTCAAACATTATCAAAGCAACACAGACACAGTTACCACTGCTCACAGTAGGCCTGAAACCTCTATACTTCGATGTCCTTTGTTCTCCTGATCATGCAGAAGTGAAGGCACTCACTCCATTTAAGAAATCTTATAGGAATGGATTTTTCGCAGGGTGTGTAATTTCAAAGCATCCACATCAATAGCTTGCTTGCTATTGAGTCTGACAATCACTGTACCACTTTGAATCTGAAGGCACCTACATCAAATTTGCCAAACTTTTTCTATGACACTCTGAAGGGAACTTGGGTGATGTGCTTTTTATTCTCCCCTTATTGGGTTTAATGTTTTATATTGCATCTATAAGTGAATTTTCCCAGGCCTTACCAGTCCACGAATAAACAAGTACAAGCATGTTGACATGCAAATCCCAGCAGCTAGAGTACTTCTGCCTCTCTAGATCTCTCTGCTATTCTTTTCAGTATTTCTACAGCTGCTGCCTTGTCTCAAATAGACACTTCTTCCTTGGGACTGCTTCTAGACCTGGATAACCCTCCATCTTCAGTGGGGTCAAGGTGACCTCCCCTTTTCTACCCTGGCCCTATGCTCTGAGATTCATTACACATTTTATCCTGTTACATTTACTTTCTGTGAGCATATTCAATTAAGCTTCTGAACCTCTCTGTTTCTTTACAAAACCAGTTCATTAGGCAGAAGAATAATTTAGAAATATTCAGTAAGTTCTATTGTGTATAAAGCTTTTACACACAGTCATGTTTGAGGCTATTCCCAGCTCAGAGATCACTCTTAGTAGTTCTACTTATGGGGAAACAGAGTGCTGGGGATTGAACCTGGGGTCTCCTACATGAGCTCTAGTCCTTTGAGCATTCTCTCTGGTCTCCAAATATATATACATCTATATTTAATGTAAAAATACCACAAAGCAGTAATATGATTGGCAAGAACACAAAAATACTTGGAAAGTATTGTGTGTATGCTGAGGCGCACAGGGCTGCCAAGGCTTACCTCATACAATGCATTTAGTACATCAGTAAAAGATACCTGGCTTGTCTGTGGGATCTGTTTTCATGCTGTTTCTTTGTTTTTCTAGCCATTTATGAAAATGGGGTAGTGAATACCTCAAGTATTAGTGAGATGTCCATTTTTATTTTTATTTTGTTTTGCTTCATATATTTTGGAAAACTGTTATATATATTTTTATAATCATTCTGTTTTCTTGAATCATTGACATTTTTCTCATAAAATGTCCCTTCTTTATCTTGTTCTACTTTTTATCTCAGAGTCTATTTTCTATGATATTATAACAGTTACTCTGTGGCTATGCAAATTCTCTTTCAGCTGCAGTTTGCCTAGAATATCTTTTCCATTCATTCATATTTGATTTACTCAAATCTTTGATTATAAAGTAAGTCTCTTGTAGGTGGTATATACGGGAATTTTTTTAAATACCTGCTTCCAAATTTTGTCTTTTAATTGGAGAGCTACTCCAATTTGTACTACATATATTTTTGTTTAAACACCTCAAACCATATAAGAACACCTCTCCTTCCCCTCTCCACCGCCAAGAAACTTTTCAATTTTGCAATTTCTGATGGCGTGTGTGTGTGTGTGTGTGTGTGCGTGTGTGTTTGTGTGTGTGTGTGTGTAACTGGGAAGTTGTTCAGGAAGTTCAGAATTCTGTCCTAGTGTTCACTGCATGCATGAGCCAGGCCCAGCTGTGTTTAGATGAGTGCTGAGGGCCATCTCTTGTATTTCTTGCTTTTGTGCTGAGTCTGAGGCATGTATACAGCCTTCTAAATTCTGAGTAATATATCAAAGCATTTAAAACCAGTCCTTGTTCTCTGAAGAGTCTCATTATTAACTTTCTTTCTAGTCATTTTAGTTCATCTATTGTTTCCCCCAATTATTATTTCTTTCAATTATTCCCAGACAATGAGGATTGTCATGAAATGTTTTTGATAATTGCCTTAAAATAACCATTTAAGCAGAGGCAAATTCTCAGGTAGGAAGTATTTTGAGGTCCTCCAGCTACCTTTCTTTATTGATAAGTGAAAATAAAACAACAACAACAACAACCCACCAAAATCAAACCAAACCAAAACAAAACCCATAGGAGTAAGGTTCATTCTTCCCCTTAAGAGTCAGTATCAAAACATCAGCTGTTGTTAAGGCCACTGCTGAATTGTAGATAACAGATGGGACTATAGTATGTAAAAGTGCCTAAAAAATCTTTTACATGGGGCTGGAGCAATAATACAGTGTGTAGTATGCTTGCCTTGCACTTGGCTGGCCTAGGTTCAATGTCCGTTTTACCTTTTGGTCCCCTAAGGACTTCCAGGAATAATTCCTGAGTGTAGAGCCAGGAATAACCCCTGAGCATTGCCAGGTGTGGCCCCGAAACAAAGCAAACCTTTTATTCATGGGGCCAAGTAGCACAGAAGGTGGGATATTTGTCTTTCATGTGACTGACCCTGGTTTAATCCATGGCACCAGATATGATCCTCTGAGCACCTTCAGGAGTGAACCCTGAGCACAAAGCCCTGAATAACACCAAGCCCATTGTGGGCCCAAACACCCCAAATTAAAAAAAATGAACAAACAGATACAGAATGACTATATTCATATGTGGTACATATAAACATATATAAAAATATTGAATTAAAGTCTTATCCTATACAGTAAAAAAGAAAAGCTGATAATATCCAAATTTAAAACTTCTGTTTTCAATTGATATCAGTGAAAACATTAAAAGGAGGCTGTCACTGTCACTGTCACTTGTCCTCCCGTTGTTCATTGATTTGCTCTAGTGGGCCCAGTAATGTCTCCATTGTGACAATTGTTACTGTGTTTGGCATGTCAAATACGTCACTGATAGCTTGCCAGGCTTTGCAGTGTGGGCGAGATACTCTCGGTAGCTTGCCAGTTTCTCCGAGAGGGGCGGAGGAATCAAACTCAGCTTGGCCATGTTGGCCGCTTGCAAGGCTAAAAATAATAAAAAAATAAACCAGCAACCACAGGGTTAGTTTTTTTGTTGTTGTTTGAATTTTCCTGGTTGTAAGCATTGGTTTGGTTTCCATAGTTCCAAAGATATTGATTCTGACCGCTTTTTAAAAACCATTCATTGTTATAGTTTCTTTTTGACCTTTCAGAGTGTCTTATGAAACTTTCGTTCTTGAGTATCACTGACAGTTTTGTAAATTTTTTGATTCCATATCAAATTATTCTTTAATTCTTTTCTTTAAACTTAGGATTTCTTTGATAAGAAATGGTGACAAGCTTCCATCTCAGGACCACTTGATTGTTCAAGAATACATTGAAAAGCCATTTTTAATGGAAGGCTACAAGTTTGATTTAAGAGTTTATATTTTGGTAACATCATGCGATCCACTAAAAATATTTCTTTACCATGATGGACTTGTGCGAATGGGAACTGAAAAGTATATTCCACCTAATGAGTCTAATTTGGTAAGTGAAAGCAGAGAGAATCTATGAATTTGTTCAACATAGTTTTGAAGCACTGTTTGATTTTGTATAAGGATTATGTGAATCAGCCTCTCCTTTTAGAATTTTTAAATAAGGTTTATATAAAGAAGCAAGATTGTTTCTAATTTATAGGCAACTTTGGGAAAATTGGAGAAATGGTATTTTCTGCAGAGAGACTAGGAAAAGGCACACCCCTGTGGGTATTGTGCTTACAAACCATGAGTTTTGAGGACATAAGTATGTAGTGGCCTTCTATGGAAATAGCTTATATAGAGCTACCAATAGAACATAGTGTCATTGAGAATGATAAGATGTTATGGAATTGAGTGTAGAAATGCTCAGTTCAACTCTTCACAAGGGGGCGTGGTATTTGAGTACAGTTTTTGTACAGAAAGTAGGATTTAAACATAATGGGGTTGTGAGATAGTTTAAGCATGTTCCCATAAACATTGCTGGGTATTACCTCAAGGACAGCTGGTTTGGCTCTGGGGATTCCTGTGAAACCCCAGAGCATCCTGGATAATCCCTGACATTGCAGGACCTTTGCAGCAGAGTATCCCCAGGACCTCTCATTGAACCTGTCCCCTTGTCCTAGAATCACAGGGAGTAGTGACTAGGTCCCACTGCCCTAAATAAGTAAACTTGTAGAAGTCAGGAGAACATACATGAGACAGAAAATGCACAAGTTGTCTAAAAGTAGAAATTAATTTTTGTTGAAACCAAAGAGAAGATTGTATATTTAGATTGGCCAAATGTTAAGTGGAGACATAAGTTGGAAATTAGGTGTGCAATTTAAAGTCTATTAATGGTACTTAAAAAAATTTTAATAGTACTTTTTGTAGATACTTTTTCATTAAGGTTTCCTTTGTGTAGTCATAACATACTGTAATTTATAGTTTATGACAGAAAACTATTATAATTTATCATGAAAGTATACAAAAATATATATATTTAAAAGTATTATTAAATGCAATTTGTAGCTTGTGAAAGATGAATCATAACTTACTATTATTTAAAGGTTTAGTTAACATTTTAAATTTTGAATCTACTAATTATACCAAGATTAATAATTAATTACAATTAATATTGTTTCTCATTTTGTCAAAGATTTGATTGTTGTTTTTCAATGTTAGGCATATAATTAATTCCACTAATTGGTATCATATTTTTAAAACTAAGGGATGATTGATCATAAATGTGCTGTGTTCCATTAACTAATACATGCTATAAATCCATAAAAGAAAATAAAAAGGAATTACATCTTTTAAGATCACAGAGTATGGAGCTTGGAAAGACAGTACAAGGATAAGGCCCTTGCCTTGCATGCGGCCAGCCCCAATTTGATTTCTGGTCCTGAGTGTAGACCCCTTAGCATCACCAGGCGTAATTGACACTTAAGCACAGAGACAGGAATAAGTTCTGAACATAGCTTGCTTGGTGTGGCACACAAAGCCCCAAATAATAAAAAATAATAAAAATAAATATTATAAAGTATGGATAAAACCACGTGCTAACCTGCGCGACTGAGCTGGAGTGATAGCACAGCAGGTGGGGCATTTGCATTGTAAGCGGCCAAGTTCGTTTCCTCTGCCCCTCTCCGAGAGCCTGGCAAGCTACTGAGAGTATCTCGCCCGCATGGCAGAGCCTGGCAAGCTACCCGTGATGTATTCAATATGCCAAACACAGTAACAACAAGTCTCTCAATGGAGACGTTACTGGGCCTGCTTGAGAAAATGGATAAAACCAACCATCAAGTAATGTTTGAAGTTTTTCTTGGCATTGTCAGCACAATATTTGGAAAAACACTGACCAAGATAGGACTTGATCTTGGTGGACAGTTCTAGAAGTAATAGGAAATGCAGAAAATAAGACAAGTAATTATAATACAGCAAGTGTGATGTTCCGAGAAACTTAGTCGGCTAAGGCAGTGCTTAGCAAGGACATTTACATTACTTGGAGATGAAGATTAGAGAGGCAATTTGAAATGTGATACTGAATAGGGAACTAACCATGGCAGGGCTGGGGTGGGGTGGGGTAGAGTTCAAGGCAAAAACATAGCCTTAGTAGTAAGAGGATGGAGCTAGATAGATAGTACAGTGAGTAGGGCAGTTTCCCTGCCTGCAGCTGACCCATGTTTGATCCTTGGCATCCCATATAGTCCCCAAGGACTGCCAGGAGTAGTTCTTGAGTTCAGAGCCAGGAGTATTCCCTGCGCATTGCCAGGTGTGTTCCCAACAACAAAAAAGAAGAGGAAGTATGGCATGGCTAGAGTAAACAAAAACATTCAATATAGATTGAGAATTAAGTATAGACTTCAAATTAAGAGATGAGCATGGGAAAAGTCCTAGAAACACCAGGTATAGTTTGAAGGCTGGGTCTATAGTTTTGGAATTTAATTTGAGAAGAGATAGATTGAAATATTCTAAACAAGTGAAACAAGAAATGGTATTTATATCATTAAACATTGACTGGGGTCTGGAGATATAATACGGGGAATAAGGCACTTGCCTTGCACACAGCCATTCTTGGTTCAATCCTGTCACCACATGTGGTGCACACTGCCAGAAGTGATCCCTGGGCAATGTGGGTGTGACCCAACTTCCCCTTTCCAAATAAAAAAGGCAAACTGGGAACTATGACAAGGGGAGTATATGGATGTAAGATATTGAGTAAGGGCCACTAGAAGCTGTATTCTGGAATGACCATGTATGAGAGAAAAGATGAAGGAAAAGCCACAACACTGGATTAAAAATAATAGAATAGATTTTTTTTGTTTTGAAGGTTGTTGTATATTTTATTTCACTCTGGAGTCATTTAAGCCCATATATAAGAGAATACAAACAGGTATGTTAAAAACAAACAAATGTGTTATACTTTTGGTACATAAGTAGGCTTGAGTATAAGAGGTCTGCTGCCACGTGCTCCAGAAAATTCTGCATTTCTCTCTTCCGGGAGCTTTGGTTTATAGTCTCTGTATCTTAGCCATTGATGAGATTACATGGCACTGGGGGCAGCTTGTGGGTGTGACTGCCAAGCTACTGGAAAACTGGGGATATGGGGGGAGGAGACCCAGTCTCGATTCAAGTGGGCTTGGAGGTCTCAGTCACGAGGCTCACATACCTGGGCTTTTCTGCCAGATCCCACTTGGGTAAGGCTTGTCCAAGTGTGTGGAGGGAGGACTTGAGCATGGTGGTGGTTGGGTTCTGGAGGCTTTTGGCTGCTGGAGTTCTGCTTGGGTCGGGGAGGGAAACTCAACCCACTCCCCTCCGAGGTGCCTCGGTGAAGACAGCCTGGTGCGGGATCAAGAAATTTTGAAGCAAAGAGAATAGATTTAAGATACATTTTGGATAACATGGTTGGATTTGTAGCAAGAGGAAAGAGAGAGAGACATATTGAAGATAAAAAGCAGGGTTTTAGAGAAAGAAGGCATGAAGAAACGGAGACATATCCCTGTTAATGGATAGGGAGGATTAACATTGTCAAAAGGTGATAATAAAGGCATATTTATCACCCAAAAACATTATACAGATTCAGTGGAGTTCATATAAGGATACCCACGACATATTACAATGAACAGATCAAACATTCCTTAAATTCATATGAAACAATAAGCCCCACAAATAGCTAAAGCAGTCCTTGGGAAAAAGAAGATGGGTGGCATCACCTTCCCCATTTCAAACTGTACTATAAAGTAATTAAAACAGCATGGTATTGGAATAAATACAGACCTGCAGATCAATGGAATAGAGTTGACTGTCCTGACACCGACCCTCAAATATATGATCACTTAACCTTTGATAAAGGAGAAAGAAATATGAAGTAAACAAGGAAACCCTTTTCAACAAGTGGTTCTGAGAAAACTGGACAGCTACATGCAAAAATATGAACTCAGACCTCTCTCTAATGCAAGGCACAAAAGTTAGATCAAAATGGATCAAAGACCTCAATATCACATCTGAGTCCATAAGGTACATGAGTACATGGAGGAAAATGTAGGTAGAACCCTCCATGACATTGGAGCTAAAGGTATCTTCAAAAGTGAAGCACCAGTTAATCAGGCAAGTGGCAGCAAAGGAAAACAAATGAAACTCCATTAAACTAAGAAGCTTCTGCACCTCAAAAGAAGGGGTGACCAAGATGCAAAGAGAGCCCTGGAATGGCATATTTATTTATCCAAAACTTATCTGATAATGGGTTAATATCAAAGATATATAAGGCACTGGTAGGATTTTATAAGAAAAATCCAACCCCATCAAAAAATAGGAAGAAGAAATGAACAGAAACTTCCTCAGAGAAGAAATTCGAACAGCCAAAAGGCACATGAGAAAATGTTCTACATCAGTAGTCCCTAGGGAGATGCAAATCAAAACTATGAGATATCAGTTCATACCACAGAGATTGGCACATATCCAAAAGAACAAGAACACTCAGCTGACGTGGATTCAGGGAGAAAGGGATGCTCCTTAATTGTTGGTGGGAATGCTGGTCTAGCCTTTTTGGAAAACAATATGGGCATTCCTCAAAAAACTAGAAGTTGAGTTTCCATATGGCCCAGCAATACCACTTCTGGGACTATGCCCTGCGGCCCCAAAAACATCCCACAGAAAAATCATCTGCACTTCTATGTTCATTGCAGCACTATTCACAATAGCCAGAATCTGGAAACAACCTGAGTGCCTGAGTGCCTGATGAGATTAAAAACAAAAAACAAAACCCATGGTACATCTATACAATGGAATACTACTTAGACACCAGGAAAAATGATGTTATGAAATTCACTTATAAATGGATGGATATGGAAGTTTATCATGCTGAGTCAGAAGGAGAGGGACAGACATATAATGATTACACTTACTGTGCAATAATATGAAAAAAAAAAGAAAAAAACCGAAAACATAGTATGAGACTAATATCCAAGGACAGTAGAAACAAGGGCCAGGAGAATTGGTCCACAGATGGAAGCTTGCTTTAAGTGCTGGTGGGGGAAAGGCAACTGGGATAGAGAACAGACCATTCTGATTGTTGGAAATGATCACTCTGCATAAGAACTTCATATTGAAAGTAGGTAAAGGAACAAACATGATTACCTCTCAAGCACCTTTATCGAAAACCATAATGCCCAAAGAAGTGCAGGGGGGAAGGAGGGGAGTGGGGGAGGCAGGGAGGAAAGGAGAGAGAGAGAGAGAGAGAGAGAGAGAGAGAGAGAGAGAGAGGAGAGGAGAGAGTGAGGCCTACCTTAGAGGAAAGCTGGGGGTGGGCTATGGCGAAAGGCAAATTGGGGACATTGGTGGTGGGTAATATACATAGGTGGAAGGATGGGTGTTGGAACATTGTATGACTGAAACCCAATCATGAACAACTTTGTAGCTATGTATCACATGGTGATTCATTAAAGAAAAAAAATCAGGGTTTTTGCATAGGCAATTAAGGGTATTGTGAGCAGTGAGCCAGGTCACTGTGATAGGTAATATCAAAGAGCTATTAAAGGTTTTTAGAAAGATGATTTACTGGGCCCGCTGGAGCAAATCGATGAACAACGGGAGGACAGTGACAGTGACAGTGATTTATTTTATTTGACAGGACTGTGCAACCACTAAGTACTAGGGACACTCATGTTATGTAAATGTGAAGTTTAGAGATCTGAGCTGCAGGCATAATTTGTGATTCATCAATTCTTAGGTTATAATTAAAGTATTTCAAGTGGGTAAGGATGGATTATGTATATCTTAGTAAGGCAGATAATTATCTTTTGAGAGTTAAGAGTAAGGAAAGGGCTAGGAAAGAGTAATAAAGATTTGAAAGATTTGGACTCTGTGATAAAATGATTTTTTTCTGTTGGGTTTATGTATGTAATTTGCCTAAGTACACTGGATTAGGTAATCACAATGAAAATCTGGGCATCAGGAAGTGCTATCTTTAGGTGGTTCTCTGCCTAGTGCTCTTGAATCACATAATCTCCTGGCTTTGGTTTTTAGTGTGTGAAAAACAATGTTTTCCTGTATAAGTGTCTGTGTTCCTCATAGACCTCTAAAATTTCATGATTAAATTTCAAGATCCATCAGGCAAAACCGTCGATTGAATATACTGGCTCGGCTCTTCACACGCTACCTGTCTGAATGCAAGTTTCCGTCCCAATGGAAAACCAGCAGGACCGTGCTACTGTTCAAGAAGGGAGACATCCATGACATTGGCAACTATCGCCCGATCTGCCTATTGTCTGTCATCTACAAGTTGTTCACTCGAGTCATCCTAAATAGGATTGGCAGAACACTAGATGAAGGACAACCATGCGAGCAAGCCAGGTTCCACAAAGGATTCAGCACCATTGAATATTCAGCACCACACGATAACCAAGCTCATTGAGGTTTCTCGGGAGTTCAAGATGCCGCTCTATTTAACATCATGCGACGATTAGAATGGGAAGGAATGAGAGTGAAGATAGATGGTCGGCAACTACACCACCTCCGCTTTGCTGATGACATTGTTTTAATAACACCAAACATCAGCCAAGCGGCACAAATGCTGGCCGACTTTGACTGTGAGTGTGGAAAGGTCAGACTACAGCTGAATCTTACGAAGACAATGTTTGTGAGAAACAGCCTGGTTCCTGATGCCCCATTCGCTCTCAACGGAACAACCATCTCCGAATGCAACAGCTATGTGTACCTAGGTCGAGAAGTCAACATGACAAATGACCTGGCACCCGAGCTGCGCAGGAGGAAGAGAGCGGCTTGGAACGCCTTCAAGAACGTTGAAGAAATAGCTAAGAGGACGAAGAACTCCGGCTCCGGGCACATCTCTTTGATTCCACTGTTCTTCCTGCATTAACTTATGCCTCAGAGACCTGGGCCCTACGCAAACAGGATGAGAATGCGATTCGGGTTTCCCAAAAAGGAATTGAAAGAGCTATGCTTGGAATATCACGTTTCACTCAAATGAGAGAAAGAATCCGGAGTTCCGACATTCGTCGACGATCAAGAATCAGGGACGCTGTCTCGTTTGCCAAGGTGTCCAAAATCAGATGGGCTGGTCACGTAATGAGACTTAAAGACGACCGCTGGACTAGAGCTGTTACCAACTGGATTCCATGGGATGTCAAAAGACCGCGTGGCTGCCCACCTACCAGATGGTCAGACTTCTTCGTCAAGATCATGAACGATTGGTTTGAGGCTCTTCATGTTCCCAGAGCGAACAGATGCCATTGGGCTACAGTAGCACGCGACAGGGACAAATGGAGACGTTACTGGTGCCCGCTCGAGCAAATCGACGACTAACGGGAAGTTAAGTGATTTAAGTGAAATTTCAAGATTAGGATATGAAAAAATAGAGTGAAATACACAAGTTCTGTTTGTACTCTTTTACTATCACTTAATTTAAAGCTTTTTCTAAATTTGTAAGGGTAAGGATTGTGTCTCTCTTATTCCCTTTACATCCATTGTGCACTGCATAAATTCAAGCTTATAATAGACACTCATTAAATATTGTCTGTTCTCATTAAATAAATCGGTTAGTGGTGGGCACATGGGTTAGCAAACAACAAGAATTCAAGAGATAAGTTTGCATGTACAAGCGGCCAACATGGCTGACCCGAGTTCGATTCCTCCGCCCTCTCCGAGAGCCCGGCAAGCTACCAAGAGTATTCGATATGCCAGACACAGTAACAACAAAGTCTCCAGTGGAGACATTACTGGGCCCGCTCGAGCAAATCGACGATCAACGGGAGGGCCTTTACCTTCAAAATTTTTAATAAAGTAGATCTCTTTAACTCAGGGAAAGTAAAATATTATATTAAAATAGCTGCTATTAACAAATCAAAATAATCATTGCATAAAGAATATATTCATCTTGATGCAGCAGTGCTATCTAAAGTCACATCTGGGTGTCAGATTACTTCATTTTATTTAAAAGTTATATAAAGTTATTAAAAAAGTTATTTGTATATTTTAAACTTCAATGTTTTCTTTGGTTTTATTTTCTGTGAAATCTTATCTCAGAGTCCCCTATGTGATAAAAATTTTCTTTCTTGTTACAGACCCAGTTATACATGCATTTGACAAACTACTCTGTGAACAAGCACAATGAGCATTTTGAAAGAGATGAAACTGAAAACAAAGGAAGCAAACGTTCCATCAAATGGTTTACAGAATTCCTAGAAGCAAACGAACATGATGTGGCTAAGTTTTGGAGTGATATATCTGTAAGATGATCCTATTGCACAATTAGTGCTGTCTTTTCTGGGATTCAGTACAATGATTGTCAAGCATTAAATATTATAAACAGACTACATTATTGATTGTACAGATTAAGATTAGTTTCTTACAGGAAGTAGAACTTGTGATGGATCTTGGTAGATAAGTATTATCTTTACTATTAGGAAGAGGGGGAAATTCTCAGTTTCAGCAAAATCATAAGAAAAAGCATAGAGTTATGAGAAAGTGGCCCAGGTTAGCATATTCAGTTTTTGTAGGTAATTCATGGGTTTGTAAAGTTGAAAAGAGGTATGGAGATAAAAATTTAGGTGGAGCAATAGAGCTGGAATTTTTTAATAAAGATAATTCTGTTTTTAAGGGAGGGGAGTAATAGGCAAAAGACTAGAAATTTAAAAGATAAGTTTGAAAACAAAAAAGGATGGTTAGAATGAAAACCAAGAATAGGTGCTTAGGAAGAAGTTATTATTTAAATAAAAAGAGTGGCTTGATATGAACCTCTGTAAAAACAAAACAAAACAAAACAAAACATAATTGCAGTAACACTGAGGTTAATTGAATATCCAGATTGGGGTAAGGAAAAGTATTTAGAATGTCTCCAGACATTATGCGGCAGAATCATAGGGAGAAATGGTGGTGAAATTATCTTAACTAGATGAAAGGAGTAGAAAGGAACTTATTTTGATACATAGAGCTTAATTTTGCAGAGGGGAAAAGAATTATTCATTTATTAACTCATTTATTTTGTAAACATTTATTGAACCTACAACATAAACCTGATAACTTGAAGATTTATAAGACCTAGCTCCAGTCCTTTAAAAGCTTAGAATTTGATAAGAAAAAAAGTCTTCAACTTCATATAAGTTGTTAATATATTAAAATGTAGCAAGTCTATCAAGAGATATGTGCTGGGTACAGAGGAAGATCACTTATGTGGAACTTTCAGTAGGCAAAGATAGGAGGCCTTTCTCTAGGCTTGGATATGTGAACTGAACTTTTAACATTTTATGAAGCTCTCTGATGATGAGTTTTACTTTATATATGATGACCTGAAAATGCTGTTTTGGACAGAAAGGTGAAGTAAGCAGTTACAAGTTTGTATTTGGGATGTAATTGATAATTAAATCCACAGAAGTGGATGAAATTCCAAATGTAAGGGTGAAAGTAAAGGACATATATGATAAGAGAACTTTGCTGAAATAGATCCTTAATAATTATAGCTCAAATACTGAAATAGTATTCAAATGGAAGGGTTGTGTCTATTGTAAATACCTAACATACTTAGCACTCTATAGTGTGCACTGTCTTCCTTTTGGGGGACAGTGGTGTAATTTAAATCTATTATGGAAAATGGACATGAAAGTACATAGTTGAACTTGATTCTCTTGAGAAAAGAGAGAAAAATAAGTACCATATTTATCCTATTGTTGAACGCTTTGTTAGTTGATTCTTTTTTAACCTTATATTCTCTGTCGCAGAATGTAAATCCAAAGGTCTTTAGTGTCAGACAATGAAAAGAAGTAATGTGGTCTGCAGAGAAGGGTGTCTGGGAACTCTGGAAATTTAAAGAGCTTTTTTAAGGTCTTAAGAGGGTTGAGATTTCTCAGCAATTGCCTGATTGCTCTACAAAAAATTTTGGGCCCAGTGTGGTTTATTCTTTTAATTTTTCATTAGAAGTCATAAATACATGGATTTGTAAACATTGACAACACATTTAAATATCTTAAAAATATAGGGACTTCACCAAGTTGTCAGAATTTATGCTTATTGACTTGTTAACTTTTTATTATATACATTTTAAGGACAAAATACATCCAGATAAGAAATCTGAGTACACTAATGTTGTGCTTAATAATTTATTTTATGAAAGTCATTTTTGTATAAATTCCAAAATAACTGTCTAGTAAGGATCATTTACTGATTCTTGAGTCAGGAACATCAAAGTAGTGAAATTTGCTATATTTTTTTAACAATCATTCAATTTAATGAGTCATTTGATAATAGCACAATATGACCAAGAAAGTCTGATAATCTTTTTCCTTTGCCAACTTTTACTTTCATGTGAATCCTTATGGATTTCTTTGAAAAAAAAGTGAAACCTATGGAATATCTTGTTGAGGAGTAAATACACCTGAGAGCAAAATGGGCAGTATTAACTATACACACATTGGTTTTATTTGTTTTGTTTTAGTTTGGGGGCAATACTTGACTGTATTACAAATCCACTCCTACTGCCTGTAATAGAATATGTTCAGAAGTTTTGGGGAGTGGGATGGGAGTATTCAGCCACACCCAGCAGTGCTCAGGGCTTACTCCTGTCTCTGTGCTCAGTAATCCCACCTGGCAGTGGTGTGATGCTGGGGTTGCTGGGGCTAAAACTGGGGGTGGCTGCATGGAAGGCAAAGATCTAGCCCACTGTACTATTTCTCTGGCTCATACATTGACTTTTAAACAGTACTTTCCCAAAATAATTTCACTAAGAAAATATGTTCAAGTAAGACTAACATCAATAAAGTATTATGAAAATGAATTTTTCTGTTAGAGCCTAGTATATAATTTTAAGAAACATCTGAATGTAGCCATTTTGAGCCTGTTATACCCTGATGCATTCACGATCTTTCCTTTGAAAGGGTAAATTTTTCCTTTGAAAGGGTAAATTTTTCATTTTTCTTCCCTACTTTCTTTCATACAAAGTAATTATAATATTAATTTATCTAATTAACAATATATGTTTAACTTTCCAAATAGTTTTGATATAGTTACTTTATTAAATTATGTGACGTATATAATGACTTAAAATTTTGCCTTAACACTTTATTTTGTAAAGAAATCTGTTCTAGTTGAATCAGTGGGATAATATAGAAAAAAGACAGTACATTTTTTTCCTCAAGGCCATGCTTTATAATATTTGTGAATTTGACTTAAGATTTTTAAAAATATCCTCTTGGGGGCATAGTTTTTTCAATATATAACTTTAAAACTAAAACTAACATCACTACCCTTTATAAAGCACAGACATTTGTGCTTTGTACTGATCAAGATGGGTAAATAGAAAATCTGACAAAAAAGATTAAATATTATTCTACTCAGAATATTTTAAATGTACTTAAGTTGAAAAGGTCTTTAAATCAAAGTTTAAAATGACACTTGGAAATCTCAGAAGTATAAATGGAGTTTGGTTTGTGTTGGGTAATGCCACTCTTCATTTTTAAATATACCTGCAATTGTGCTTTTACATTCCTAAAATTGAATTGTTTTAGGGTCCAATAATACTACCATTTCACCTACTTACCTATCTTACTTTATATATATTTTAACCTCCCTATTTGTAGCTGTTTCAGCAATATCTCGAAAGACTTATGTAGTGGCTTTTTAGTCTTTTATCTTGTGAATATTATTACTTTGAAAATAATTTTTCTAAGAACTACTTCACCTGACATCTCGATGTGTACATGTAGGGAGTGGTAAAGCCACAAATTAGTCCTCTTTAGAGCCAAATTCTTAACTGCTTGACATCCTGCCTACACCGGTAGAGAGGAAATTGAAAAGAAAATGTATTCCAAGTGAAAGCAAGTAAACCAGCTCTTCTGTGATCACAGACTCAATCTCAAACTTCAAACCAACTTAGAAAACAAGCATTAGTCGTGGCATTTTGTGCAGCGGGTAGGGCGTTCGCCTTACAAGCGGCCAACATGGCCGACCCGAGTTCGATTCCTCTGCCCCTCTCGGAGAGCCCGGCAAGCTACCGAGAGTATTCGATATGCCAGACACAGTAACAACAAAGTCTCCAATGGAGACGTTACTGGGCCCGCTCGAGCAAATCGACGATCAACGGGAGGACCTTTACCTTTACCTCATAGAAATCATCAATATCAAATTCTTTCATTGAATTCTTGTCCCTGGATCACAACGTCATTCCTATGCTAATAAACTTTGAAGGCTAGATTGCCGTCTAAGCCCCAAGAGCTGTCCTCTAATGCAGACCATGCATTTTGTTTGTGTAATAGTCTACCGTCATTGGGATTTTCTTTTTCTTCTCCCTTTCTGTATGGTTTCTGAGAAGGCTAATTATGAATTTACTCTTAACCAGTAGAAGCCCTGTTATCAACTTAAATTTACTCAGTGTTCAAAAACGCTTTTGAGAGGTTTAAGAGATAGAGATTAATGCACTTGCCAACTGGAAGACCCTGGTCCATTACCACATGATCCCTTAGCACAGCCAGGAGTGATCCCTGATTTACAGAGCGAGGACTAGGCTCTGAGCATTGCTAGGTGTGACTTAGCATTCTCCCTACTCCCCGATAACTTTTTAACATCTTCTGAATTCTGACAGTATTAGAGACAGTAGGAGTGGATTTGTAAGTAAAAATGTAGACCCTGCTTTAGCAAAGAAAGAAAAAAAATAGCTGTTTGAATGATGTAGTGAGACGTATTGGGTATAACTGACTTGAGAATCAGACCTGAATATTAAGGAGCCAGACATGGGTATGACTTGGAAAGAGTATTTCTAGAAGAGGGACGCTAGTTCTTGAAGCTCCTGTAGAAGACATGCAGGGCTTGAATGTTTCGGGATGGGGAAGCATCCGTTGAAATAAAATTAGAGCGGCAGCAGGGACTAGATGCCATAAACTATGTGAACTTGGCCAAGATGCTAGTTTCTAAGTCCAGGCCTTTTTTCTACATATGTAAATGAGATGCACACACAAATAAGGCATTTTTCACCTTTAAGAAATCATAATTCTTATAGGAATTGGTGGTAAAGACTCTGATTGTAGCAGAACCTCATGTTCTACACGCATATCGAATGTGCCGACCTGGTCAGCCTCCAGGAAGTGAAAGTGTCTGCTTTGAAGTCCTGGGATTTGACATTTTGTTGGATAGAAAACTAAAGCCCTGGCTTCTGGAGGTAAGGCATTTCTTTATGAAGAAAGAGAAGTGTTCATTGTTTTGGGGTATTCAAACAAATGTTTTTAAATGTACACTTTGTATACTTTTTTCACTAAAAAAAGTATAAATTGAGTATGTGGGCAGAGAGAAAAAAAATTCAGGGAATTGAAGAGTTTTATGGATGAATCAATATGTGTTCGATATGCTTTTCCCCACTTAGTATTATGAATTTCAAGACCTGGACATTTGAATATGTGTGACTAGGGCTGGAGCGATAGCACAGCGGGTAGGGCATCTGCCTTGCACGCAGCCAACATGGCCGACCCAAGTTCGATTCCTCCGCCCCTCTCGGAGAGCCCGGCAAGCTACCGAGAGTATCTCGCCCGCACGGCAGAGCCTGGCAAGCTCCCCGTGACGTATTCGATATGCCAGACACAGTAACAACAAAGTCTCCAATGGAGATGTTACTGGGCCCGCTCGAGCAAATCGACGATCAACGGGAGGGCCTTTACCTTTACCTTTACCTTACTTTGACAGATTTGCTATCTGTCTCCTTTCTCCACTGCTTTCTCAGTCATTTAGCTTTGACTTTTGGGTGTCCTATTTGCTTTGTATATGCACGGGCTTTAGGACCAATCCCTCTGCCTTCAACGTAGCACCTTTCAAGCCTTCCGAGAGGAGAGACTTCAACCAGTTCATTAGTTGGTGTTCCATACCTGACACCCAAGGCTCTGTGGATTCTCAAGATAAGACATATTATATATTTGGACTCCCCTCTCATCCAGCCTGTCGACTCTATGCCTCAAGTGGCCTGACAGTCCCTGGTGTGCTCAGCCCAATTATGAAAGGAGATAGAAGGTCTCACTGAGAATTTAGAAAATAAAAGGAGGAATAAAAATTGATTTGTTTAGGGTTTTTGTCCTTTTGTCCAGTACTGTTTATATTAATATTTTATCCAAAGAAATCTTTTAAATGCTATGATTCTCTACCTAGAGGAATACTCTCTTAGGAAGTTACATCAGAAAAATTGCACTTACTCAAACCCTTAAAGTTTACTAAATGACAGTGGCTGAATAAATAGCAGTACTCCTACATGAAAAAGAAAAGTTTACTAGATGAGTTGTATTTTAAGAACTCTACTTCTGTAAAAGATATAAATATCTTTCTATCTTTCCTTTTAATTATCTCTTCAATAATTTAAAATTGAAAGTTATATACTGTAATTGCAAATCAATTTTGCTAAAACAAGTTGAGTGATAGGTGAGAGCAGGACATTTAGAATATGTTTTTAATAACACTTTTCAGATATGAGGATCAAAGTTTTTGTGTGTGTCTTTGTGTATCCCACCTATTATAAACAAATATTAATATGTATTGTATTTCCAACCAGTTACAGATCTCCTAGGCAGATGATCAAAAAAACTTGCTTCTACGCGTGTCCTAGAAATAAGATGTGAAGAATGTCACTTATTTCTTTTCTATAATTCTTGATTATAAAATCATTTGACTATATATTGTGAGCCTGTGATATTATGAATTGTGAGAAGCATATTTTTTGGTCACTCAGATGATTAAATTAATGTATTTATCACACATTATTGGCCATAATCCATAGTATCTGGTCAGTCTCCCAGAAACTTGGGAATTTCCTAGGTGTTGAGAATGATTCTTATTATGTTAAAAGGGACTTTTATGTTGATGATATGACTTTTGGGGCTACTCCTAAGGATGAGGGCTAGTTGCCAGAGAAAAGGCAAGTGATTAGATGGTTGGAATTTTAGTTCAATTCCGCTGACTTTTGGAGAGTGGGAGAGGAACAGGAGGTTGAATTCAGTGGCCAGTGGCCAAAGGGTTAATCTGAAACTATCTACTTAAGTTGCTGTACCAGCCCCAATGGAAAGGCCTCGGAGAGCTTCTAGGTCAGTGAACATGGCAATTTGGGTGGAATGACATGCCTGAAGAGCTTAGAGTAGCAACTTGCCTTTTCTTCTTATCTTGCCAATGAGATTTCTCAGTTATATTATCTTTAATAATTTGCTGCTACAGTGAGTAAATGGGTTCTCTGAGTTCGAAGAACTACCCCAACAAATGAATCAAAACCTGAGGACAGTGTCCTGTGAGCATCTCATTTATAGATGCTCTGTCAGAATCACAGTTAATCAGGGTTCTGTTTTGGAACCTTAAGTCTTAGGAGGAGGCCTCTTGACCAGAAGTGTCGGGAGCCGTCTGGGGCTTGCCAAGGCTATCTTGGGAGACAGAGCTCTCAACCTCTTGTTTCCAATGCTCTCTCCAGGTAGGCGAAAATCAGAATTTAACTAAATTCTTGAACACTTTGCTGATGTTTGAAAATTGCTTGGTAGGAGGAAAACTCTGCATATAGTCATTGAAAATGGTCCTAGAACTAGTACAGTCCTTTCACCTTATTACCAGATGTTTTCTTCTTTAGGTTTACTGATTTGTTTGCAGTCTTTTTTTAGTAATAGTATTTTCCTCCCCCACCATTTCCAGTTATCTTTCTTTGGTTATTGATGCAGTAGGGGAAGAGTGAAGACATGAGGTGGAGTGGGAAGGATCGAGGGAAGAATGACTTTGTACGAAGGTATTTTAGGGACTGGAGAAATAGTAGAGTGAGTGGGTACTTGTATTACATGTGGCCAACCTGGATTTGATCCCCATACATAGAGTCCTGAGCACTGATGGAAGCGGCTCCTGAGCATAGAGTGAGGAGTAAGCTCTGAGCACTGCAGGATGTGGCCTCCAGCAGTTATAAAGTTTATAGATCTTAAAGTGCTTTTTTTAAAGCACTTTCTCAGCTAGTGATTTTCATTAGCTTGGTAAGTCAGAGTTGACTGGACAGTTGAAGTTAATTTTTAAAAATCTCAAAATGCCCTTATTTATATTAATTTTTTTAATAGTTTATTGTCTCTGTCATTTCGAGATCAATATAATAAGATCCACTAACAGCCACAGTAACCAATAGCTAAGTATGTTACTTGCCAAAACAAACTTTTTGCTAGTCTTTCTTCATTTCCAAATTGAGCAGAAATCTTAGAAACATCTAAAGTATTATAAATTTTAATATATATTATTCTTTATAACAAGAAAAATTTTTCTTTTTTATTGTCTCTAAATGTCTTTTTTCCCCATCTGCAATCTTAGTCTGATATATTCGTTAAAAACCTTTTGGCGCCATCAAGTGGAATAAAGTAGAAGTTGCTTCTGAGAATGATAAAATAAAGTCGTGATGGAGAACTGGCCCATATACTAGAGTGATCAGTCTCTCCCTGTACATGTGTGTATTTGAGAGTTTAAAAAATTTTGTATAGGGATTGAAGCTGAACAAATAATATTTAAGACTATAGAAGGTGAGATAATGCCTGTGATGTGCTGCGACATTTAAGGTGGTGATGGCAGGGAGGGAACTGACCAGAAGGAACAACACTGGCCAGAGGGAATAGGAGCACAGAATCTGTGATGGAGACTTTGACATGTATATGAAATGACTGTTTCTGTTTTGCAATAATGCTGTGATTTTACCAGCTATGAAACCATACTTATTTCTTGTCTAACGGTTTTCATTTTTTTTTTTTGCATGCATTTACAAGCAGCTACACTTTGAAGCTAACAAATACTGACTTTTGTCTATTTTAGAGTTGGTATAGGCGATAGGAACCAAAGAAATCTTCAATATTATGGGATAGTAGCCCTGTCTAATTTTTAGAGTTTCTTCTGTCAGATATTCATGATTATATAATAAAATGTTTTCTTCCAAATTGAGCTGGAGCAATAGCACAGTGGGTAGGGTGTTTTCCTTGTACATGGTCGACCTGAGTTCGATTCCTCTGTTCCTCTCGTAGAGCCCAGTAAGCTACCGAGAGTATCCCGCCCGCATGGCAAAGCCTGGCAAGCTCCCCGTGGCGTATTTGATATGCCAAAAACAGTAACAAGTCTCGCAATGGAGATGTTACTGATGCCCGCTAGAGCAAATCGATGAACAATGGGAGGACAGTGCTACAGTGGTTCCAAATTAAAAAAAAATTTGGATGTTTACCTAAATTGAAAAAAAAAAAGAAAAAACATTTTCTGCTTTTCTACATACACATATCAATTAATCTGTGTGGATAAATTTCTTCATAGGCCAATTTATGATATTGTGAGCCCAAAAGGTGAACTCAGGGAGTTGAAGTCATGCCTAGTGGTGTACTGGGGATTCGAGGCACCAAAGATTGAACCCAGAGCTTTACACATGTGTCCTGATACTTGAGCCTTATCCCTAGCCCCAGGTTCTTTTATATAATGGTAGAAGGTAGAATATGTTAGAGAGAGAGAGAGAGAGCTTAAACTTATTTTGTTTCAGTACCTCAACACTGTACTGAAGGAGGTATATGCCTGGCAGAATTCCAGTGATTTTGAAATAGAACACCTAAAAAATCCTATCAAGATAGATCAGGTTTCTGAGAGCCACTTAATCATCTATTCCTACATGTTTATTTTATAATCTGATTACCTGTAATGGCAGTACTATCTAGTTGTATTACAAATTTCAGAGATTTGAATCAGTATAGCATGGTTAGAATTTATTTTTTTAATATAAAATGTTACTTTGGTCTTTTTTTTGCAGTTGTAGAGGAAATTCTAGAACTGTGAAGTAGCATATTTCTAAACACCTTCTTTGGCCAATTTTACTTTGAATAAATGAATATTCATGCAATTGACAAGCTATTCCCTTCTTCTGAGGCCATATCACAAAGCTCGGAATATGTTTCTCACTCTCTAAATCAGAAATCAGCAAATGAATCAAAATACATGGCATATCTGCATACAGGAGTAACATGTATTCATAAAATGAAAGATTTTTATAATATAAAGAAAAAATGGGTACACCACGGGGAGTTTGCCAATATGCCAAATACCAGTAACAATGATGGGTCTCATTCTCCTAACCCTGAAAGAGCCTTGAATATGGCACTTTTTAAAATCTCAGGGCTAGGATGAAGGAGACGTTACTGGTGCCTGCTTGAGGCAATCGATGAACAACAGGATGATCGTGATTGTGACCGTGAAAGAACAAAATGTGGATGTGAAAGCAGAATACTGAGAAGGACAAACAAAGGAAAGAAATCAAGTGTGGGGAAGTAAGAAAAAGCAAAGAGAAAGAAAGTAACAGGGGCAGGAGGCAAGGTCCTCTGACACATTGACTGTAGAACTACGGTGTATCTATTTATTGGAACTACAAAACCAACAAGCTAAATTTCCAACAACCAGACTTAAAAATGTGCCTGTCAAGGAGGCTTTTGGAGGAAAACTGGGGACATTAGTGGAAGGAAGTTGACACTGGTGATGGAAGCGGTGTTGAGGTTGATGCCTGAAACTCAACTATAAATAACTTTGTAAATAGCAATGACAATATAAGTAGAATAAAATACAATAAAAAGCATTTAAAGTGCATACAGAAGAAAATATGTGTATAGAAAAATAAAACTGTAAATAGTGGTGACTTAATGTAAATAGAATAAAATGCAGTAAAAAAGAAAGCAGTATTCTTAGCTTAGCCATGTGTCCAGAAGGTAAAGAATATTGATGTGTATACAAAATTAAATATGTATACATAGAAAGTATCTGAAATACAGCTGACTGAGTTGTTATTAATATACTTAGTAGTGGCATTGATTGTAGGTGACTCTTCTGTTGTTTGTAGAGCTTTTATTCACTATTTTTCTGCAGTCATCCTTGACCATATATCTAATTAGAGGCATTTGTGTTCTGGAGTGACTTAAGTACAATATGGATTTCTTCCAATGGTTTTGTCTCTTGTGGTGGATTTGAATAATACATGTTCTTCTAATACTATTACCATACAGAATTTTTGATATAATCTGTATGTGGTTAGTTGATCATGAAGCTGAAGCTGTGGTTTGAAATTTAATAGTATTCTAATCAACTAAGTTAAATACTTTCATAAACACCAGCTATTCTAATTATATTTTCATAAAAATTGATTAAATACCAAACTTCCAGCTCCTGAAATGGTAGTGTTTTACACAGAAGCTTCTAATCATTTCAGTTTTTTAATGAATCCTGTAAGTGATGGTAGAAATAGGACAGCCCCAAATGTCTCATTTATTCACGTGAGACTTTGTGCATCTAGAAAAGCTTATGAACTTTGTCCTGCAGCTTTTTAAATAGTGTTTCTTGACCAGCACAGTCAGTACTTTGGAGACGAAAATTGAGGAATCCTTGTTTGAGCCAGGTAGAAAGAAAAAAATGTTTTTTTATTTTTTTAAGGTTAGTGATAAATCGATTCATCCAGATCTGAAGATCTGGATGTTTTTTATATGCCCAATAGATGCACATATATAATTGTGGTTTTTATTCACATGAATATTCTTTTTTTTTTTTTTTTTTGGTTGGGGGCCGCACCTAGTAGTGCTCGGGGCTGATTCTTGATTCTTCACTCTGGAATCATTCCTGATAGGTTCAAAGGACCATTTGAGGTTCCAGGGATTAAAGCCTAGTTGGCCATAAACAAGGTATACACTTTATCCATTGTAATCTCTTTCCAGCTCCCTGATTCTGTTATGTTTTTCTTACTCATTTTCCATACCTTGTTGTTGTGTACCTTTCTCTTCTTTAAACTTGGAATCTAGGATGACTTTTGGCAAAAGGCTGGAGAGCAGAGAGGAGAAAGGACATGTTAGCCGACAAAGACCCTTAAAGCAAAGACTGCACAGGGAAGGGGGGTGGCGGTCTGAATCATTTTTCTTGCAAGTTCTTGTCTTAGGTTGATGGGGAATGGAGGTGTGGCAGTGATCATCTGGGCCATCTGTTTTGTAAAGCTCTATGGGCTATAGAATTGCATATTAGATTAACAAAAATTTGTGAAGTATTCATTGGTCTTCCACACTATTTAGGTGTTCTTATTATTTTCTTTGTAAATTACAGATCAATCGTGCCCCAAGCTTTGGAACTGATCAGAAAATAGACTATGATGTCAAAAGGGGAGTCCTGCTGAATGCTCTGAAGCTATTAAACATCAGGTCAAGTATTTTGCTCCATCTTCTGAGAGTTTTCTCCATTTTGATTTGAATAATATTTTGCACATGGGATTTATTCTTCTAGTTGTATTTCTTGATTCTCTTAAGCCAGTTTTTCTTTTAAAGAACGTATATATCCATAGTACATAGTACATATTTACACATACTGATTATTTTCTTCACATATAATGCTCTTAACATATTTTTAATACAGTTACAGTGTAGAGTTATTTGATATGGAGTATGAGGTTAGGTTGTAGAGTATTTTAGGAAATCCTCTAGATTATCTTCTTCCTTAATATACAAGAAGAAACTAAAGCAGAAATATAATTTAGGAAGGGGGCAAAAATAACCCAGATATGCATTTCTTTTTTATCTACGGTATAATATAATCTAGGTAAACAGAAAATTGAGGCCATTGTTAAATCAGTGCTTTCCTAGCCTGTTGTCTATTGGTGGACAGTTAGGCAGGCTGTGTCCATGTCTTGGCTGTTCCGAGCAATGCTGCAGTGAGTTTGGGACTGCCAATGTCTTTTGAGTTTCTGATTTCAACCATAGAGCATAGACTCAGACGTGGGATTGCTGGATCAATGACTTATTTTTCTACCTTATACAAAAAGGAAAATTTTCTAATTATGATAGCATGGGTGAACCTCAAATATGCCAAGTGAATTATGTAAAAAAAAAGACTTATTTTAAGTTGAGGTATACACAGTTTAAAAAGAATTTTACAGTCAAAACTGAGAAAGATAATGGCATTTAAGTGTGGTTGTAGGTGGAATGTACGTTTTGAAATGGTGTGAAATTGTATACCTTAAAACTATATCTCAAAATAGTTATAATAAGAGTGGTGAACTAAGGGAGACTTGGCATTCATCCTCCTTATTATTTTTTTCTCTTTGGGTCACACCTGGTGAAGTACAGGGGTTACTCCTTTAGTTACACACATTGGCTCTGCACTCAAGAACTACTCCTGGAGGCGCTCAGGGGACTATCTGGGATGCTGTGAATTGAACCCGGGTCGGCGGCATGCAAGCAAATGTCCTGCCTGCTGTGCTATTGCTCCCGCCCCCTTCCTTGTTTTCATTAGTGGTGTGTAAGAGAACATGACACGGTTCTTAGCATCTAGATAATATGCTTGGGGACTGGTTGGTTAGTGTAGGGGTTAAGGTGTTTGTCTTATATATTGTTGATGGTTTGAGTGCAACTGGGATAAGTATAGAGTGTGATGTAATCCCTGATCATGGCCAGCATGCCCACTCCCTCACCAAATGCCTGATTCCTGCCTCTAATAGACCCTATAGACATTATGCTAAAGGTTAGGTGGCAAGCATGTACTTCAGTCTTTTGACCTATCTCACTGCCTCTAATCAACATTTTTAAAGGGCATTTATTGCATTAGAATAAACAGAAATGAGAGATAAAAAATAGTTGTTATTAAAAAGGAAATTATGTGTTCACAGATAAATGCAGTACAACAATAACCATCCAAACCTAGTGTCTATCTTGCTGAGCTTTGCTAGTTAACGCCAAAACATTAATATAAAAATCAGGATAGAAAACTGGGAGTTATCTTTAACTTCTTCCTTTATAATGAATCATCTAAATCTTATCAAGTGTGTCACTAGTAATACAATACTATTTACTTTTAGAGTATCCTCTCCAAGTCTGACTTTTTTTTTTTAATTTTTGGGTCACACCCGGGAATGACAGGGGTTGTTCCTGGATCTGCACTCAGGAATTACTCCTGACGGTGCTCGGGGGACAATATGGGGTGCTAGGAATCGAACCCGGGTCAGCCCTGTGCAAGGCAAACACCCTACCTACTGTACTGTCGCTCCAGCCATGACAATTTTTTATTTCTTTTCTGGATGAGTTTTGTTTTCCTTCCTTGTCTCAGCTGTAATCTCCACCCTATTTTGCACCTTCCATTTTATGGCTTCAAAAATCATCAAGTACATTGTGTGCCCATAATTTATTGCAATAAGTATAGGGAATTCAAAGTCTCTTTCAATTCATAGATTTCTGACTTTGTGTAACTTCTTGGATAATGCCACTTATTGAGATAAAGATTTTAGGTGAGAATCAGACTTAGAGGAATTAATGGGGGATTGTAGAGAGAGATAATCAGTTTTAAGCATGCTAATTTCTGTGGGCTTTGAGACAGTTGGCAGAATTGTTAAATGAGAAATTTGAAACTCAGGAAATTTGAAGCTCAGGAGGCCAAGATATCTATTTGACTGACATGCAGATATTGATTGCTGTTCAGTATAATGGATGTGAGCACACAGGTGGAGTGTATGATATATTGAGAAGTAAAGAGGGGTAGGGCCAGAACCCCCAGGGATGCCAACATTTGAAGAGATATTTATAACTTCTGATATCATGATCATTTTTTTTCCACATCATTAGTTGAATTTTAGGCTCCAGCACATTGACTACAAGGCTCTTTTCCATCTTTAGATGATATAAAAGACATTTTATGTTCAGCCCTTCCATCTCTTTCAAACGTAATCGTTTTTTGTTCTCTTTTTTCTGTCCGAGAATCAATTTGATTTCTCTGTGAACCTTAGTGCTGTTTCACAAGATCATGTTTTTGCATCTGTTCTCATCTGAATGTTCTTTTGGGATGAGAATGAAACTTAATAGGGGAATTATGTTTTACATGTGAAACCTTAACTTTTATTCCCAGTGTAAAAGTAAGGAAGTGGCGGGGGGAAGGGAGAAGTCTTTCAGCTTTGTTGTGTCATTCTGATTCTTTACATGTTAGATGTTTCTAAAATATGTAGTAGAGTGGTATTCAGTTCATTCTATGGTTGTGAGTCATCACCTCCATTGGTTTCCAGAACTATTACAAAACTGATACATTGTACTCATCCCCAGGACAGCTCTCCCCCATGCCCCAACCCCGAGCAGCCATGGTTTCTCTACTATCTTTTTATTTCTGTTAACTTGGCTACTTTTGGGACCTCATGTAAGGGGAAGCAGAGAACAATTTGACTTAACATAAATGTTTTATTTGGGTTCTGATTTTGGGGATCACCTAGCAATGCTCATGGCTTTCTCCTGATCCTGTGTTGAGGGATTACTTCTGGCAGTATTCAGGGACAATTTGTGGTTTTGTGGATCAAACCAACCTTGACCACATGCAACCCAAGTGGCCATACCTCCTGCATTATCTCTCTTGCCTATTAACATGATGTTTTTAAGGTTTAGACATATCGCATCGATGTTAGTATTTTCTTCCTTAAGTTGAAGGTTGAGTAACATTCCACTGTATGCCTTTCACTCTTTAAAAAAAAATTAAGGTAAAGGTAAAGGCCCTCCTGTTGTTCATCGATTTGCTCGAGCGGGCCCAGTAACATCTCCATTGGAGACTTTGTTGTTACTGTGTTTGGCATATTGAATACATCACGGGCGGCTTGCCAGGCTCTGCCATGCGGGCGAGATTTTTTGGCTTTTCAGGTCACACCCTGAGATGCTCAGGGGTTACTTCTAGCTCTGCACTCAGGTATTACTGCTGGTGGTGATCAGGGGACCATATGGGATGCCGGGGATTAAACCCAAATTGGCCACATGCAAGGCAAACGCCCTACCCACTGTACTATTGCTCTGGGATCCCTTACACTCTCACTTTTTTTCTGAACTCATTCTTCAGTACCTTGCTTTTCAGTTCTTTGCAGAGGCATAATGATCCACTTTTTTCTGTTATGCTTTGCTCTCAGTTTTAAAATAGCATCATTGTACTCTGTGTATTTGTTTACCTGTTATTGTACACTATGTATTGTTTACATGCCAGTGTCTATGACCTGTGGACAGTGGAGGCTGTGGGCATGTGAAGACAATGCTCTTATCAGTTCATCTTTGTGTCCTCAGGGCAAATCAGTGAAGAGCTTATCTTTGGATATAAAATATAAAATAAAAATTTGGGTTTAAAGGATAAAGGAAAGACCATTCATTCAAATATAAATATTGGCAGAAAGATAAGGAAATGAGACAAAGCACAGAATATTCATGGAACTTCTGGTGATTCTGTATGATGGGAGCATAGTAGCAAATGAGGGAAGAGATTAGCTAATCCTTTGGATAGAATCACAGGATGATGAGGGATGGGAAGGATTGTAGAAAGAGATCCAGAGTTCCTTAGGTCATTGTGTGGGCATGACAGAATGGAAAAATGTGATTAAAATGCCAGGAAATCTTTTAATCTCTATTAAAGTTTTATTCTGGTCTCTGAGGTATCAGACCACTGGAGCACTGTCCTCCTGTTGTTCATCGATTTGCTCGAGTGGGCCTAGTAACGTCTCCATGGTGAGGCTTGTTGTTTCTGTGTTTGGATTATTGCAAGAAACACTCGGTGTCTTGCCGGGCTCTCCGAGAGGGGCGGAGGAATCGAACTCAAGTCGGCCGCATCGGCCGCATGCAAGTTAAATGACCTACCACTATGCTATCACTCCAGAGGTATCAGACCAGAAAAAAAAATCAATGATAAAATTGCCAGCTTATATTAATAGAAATATTTTCTAGATGACAGTTTTCTGAAAGTCTGAAACATGGGAACATTGAATCCCTTGACAAACGTGGCTCTTACTCTCCCTCTCTCTTTCTCTCTTTCTTTCTCTCTCTCTGTGTCTCTTTCTTTCTTCCTTCCTTCCTTCCTTCCTTCCTTCCTTCCTTTCTTTCTTTCTTTCTTTCTTTCTTTCTTTCTTTCTTTCTTTCTTTCTTTCTTTCTTCTTTCTCTTTCTTTTTTTTTCTTTTTGGGTCACACCCGGCAATGCATAGGGGTTACTCCTGGCTCTGCACTCAGGAATTACTCCTCGTGGTGCTCAGGGAAACATATGGGATACTGGAAATCAAACCTGGGTCAGTCGTGTGCAAGGCAAATGCCCTACCCACTGTGCTTTCGCTCCAGCCCCTCTCCCTTTTTCTTTTTTTCCTTTTTTTAATGTTTTTTATTTTTTTGTTGATTCACCGTGAGAACAGTAACAAAGCCTTTCAGTTCAAGTCTCAGTGATCAATGATCAAACACCCGTCCCTTCACCAATGCACATTTTCCAGCACCAAGAACTCCAGTATACCCCTCCCCCCCCACCAACCCCCTGCCTGTGTGGCAGATTTCCACTTTACTCTCTCTCTACGTTGATAACATTCAATATTATGACAAAAGACCCACCATTGTTATTTGGAATTTTCCCCAACATTCAGACCTGCCACAAAGACGTCATTAGAAAATTTGTTTTCTATTGTTGATTATGAAGAGCATAAGATGTTGTGTGGCCACAATAGCAGCCACGCGAATTTGAATTTCTGATATTTTAGTAATAAACCTAGAGGGATTACTGCCAGAAGCCCCTGGGTTCCGAGATTGGTATGTATACCTCTGGGTTCATGGTCGGTCAGAAGCCGGAGGCGTTTGAGTGTGGCAGCCTGGAGCATTGTCATGGCGGGGAGCAGGGCCAATTCCACCCACCATCCCATGAAGCCCCACGTGCCTCATCAATGCAGTCTCATACCTGGCTGTTCATTAGGCTCTAAAAGATGCAGGCCAAGATGAGTGCAATTTTTCTGTGTCTATCCCGCTCTTTCTGACTCAGTACCCAAAAGAAGAGAGAGAGAATAAGGGGGAATACCCTGCCACAGAGGCAGGGTGGGACGGGGGGGGGTGGGGGGTGGGGGGGATGCTGGAACCCGTGGTGGTGGAGGATGGGCACTGGTGGAAGGATGGGTACTTGATCATTGTATAACTGAAACCCAAGCACCAAAATTTATAAGTCTATAACTGTACCTCATGGTGTTTCACTAATAAAAAAATTAAAAAAAATAAAATAAAGGTATTGATTCAAAAAAAAAAAAGATGCAGGCCACCGTGTCGCCACCACAGAGGGGGATAGGCGGAGAGACAGACACCCTTCCTCTCCCAGGGCGGCATAGCACCATAGTTAAATACAAAGTCCAGATGTATTTCCGTTGGGCATTATCTTTTGCTCAGATTTTCCCACCACCATTCAAGCCTGATTTTCAGGGAGAAATGCTAGATTATTTATTTCCATTGATCACTTTGCATATCAAGAAATGTTGCACTGCCGCTTAAGCTGCGTAAGTTCAGAAAAAAGTCCTGGTACCCACATGCCAGATCCATGCTTGTAAAAGCTCATGGTCACCGGGATTCCATCTGAGGAAGGCGGGGAGACAGCATTTGCCCCATCTGGGACCTCCTGGTGATATTGGCTCTGTTTGGGGCCCAGAGCATTCTCCGGGAGCTGTGGGGTCCTGCAGCTGGTTTTCTTCTTTGCTGCTGTGTGCTGTAAGATGGCACTGTGAGTGAGTTGTGGGCGTGACTTCCGGAATCAGAGGTTGCCTGGGAGCCAGGGGCGGCCTCATTGCAGTTCGGAAAAAAGTCCTGGTACCCGCATGCCAGAGCCATGTTTGTAGAAGCTCATGGTCACTGGGATTCCATCTGAGGAAGGTGTCTCCCTTTTTCTTAATGTGCCGAATTTCTGTGTGTGCTTGTTCCTGTGAATCTTCTTTGTGCATGTTAAGAGCTGTTTATGGTCAGTATCCTTGTCTGTGTCCTGTTTGCCGTGACATGCTGGTACATAGGTTCATTGATTTCTCAGTAATCTCTTTTTGGCATTGTCGACCATTCTTTCATTCTTTTCCACTTCAGTGTCATTACTTTTTCTTTACTTCCTCTACCTAATTTTTACCTAATAAAAATTAGGCTTAATCTTTGTTTCTTTGTGTTCTTTTTTGTATTTTCTTCTCTTTTCTACTCTTTTTCTCTTTTCTTTCAATGGAACAGTATATAGTCATGATTGTTACAAATAAAATGGAATATAAAAAGTAAAATTAAATTAATAGGCATCAAACTATACCCTATTCCTTTTTCCTTAGAGGAAGCTCAGCTAGAACTTTGGAAAAATTCTTCTCCTTCATTTCCCTCTCCTGTGGTTTCTCCTTCATTTCCCTCTTGTGATGACTTGGGGTAGCTCAAGCTTTGGGGATTGTCTCTACATCCCAGGAGTTATACACTTCAACTGGGATGCTTGTGCACAATTTGCATTACTTGTCTAAGGTCACAACATGCTCTGTTGTGGTGCTCACCTTGAGCTGCATCCCCAGCTGTGATGCTTGCATACACTTCATGAAGGTGTGTCCTGGATTGTACACCTGTTGTGATGCTGAGGATCACAAATAGGACTGCTGCTGGGATCAGATTGTGGAATAGTGTTGATTCAACACCTCATGCCTTCAGGGCAGGCACCTCACCACTGAATGATTCCTGTATGCTGGGAAGGTGATGATTTTTAAAGATCGTCATTAAAATCAGAATAGTGCCACTTAAGTTTATCCCTTTTTGTTTCTTTTTTATTAATTAATCACCAATGGTGTTCATTCCTTCTCTAAAATAATCCGTAAACTCCTCTCTCTTCTCTAATTCTTTTGGTGCCTTCCTTGTGTAGTCCTTTGCGTTCATACTCGCTGATGAAATGACATCTGATTTAGTGTGTTTGGATTACCCTAGCACTACAGCCTGAGAGTGTATAACAAAGTAATTTATTTCTTACATTGGTGTTTGGAAATCCAAGAAGATTATGTCTGCCTGTTTGGGTGAGGTTCCTAGCCTGGATAGTAGTTTTCTTGTGTTCTCACATAGTTTAAATGGTCATGGAGCTATTTGAAACCTCTTTCAGAAAACACCAATCCCTTTGAGGAAGTTTTAACGTTCCATCCTGTGATCTAATCACCTCCCACAGGCACCACTGAGCAACACCATCATTTTTGGGATTAGCATTTCAACATTCACATATTCAGACCATTGCACTGTTTTAACTTCCTGCTTCATTTTTATTAATCCCTTCTAAGCTACTGTGTATTCCAAGGAGATAATCTATGCTCATAAAACATGCCCATTGTCATTCAAATTTTACCACCTCTCTGTTGACTATAGTCATATTTGACTTGTTTCTTGCTTCATAATTACTATTATACTAACACCCTGCAAAAATCTGAAAGTGTTTATTCCCTTTTCAAAGTATTTCTTTTACTCTGTCTATCTGTAGAACTCTTACACCTGAGATCTAAATCTTGTCACAAGAGAGACTAAATAAGTTTTCTAACATTCCTGCAAGTTCTATGAGTGAGAGTTGTGAAGTGAAAGAATATTAATCTAAAATCTTGTTCCATAGTTTCCAGGTAGTAAATGGGATTAGATGAAAAATTAAGCTCCTCTCTTAACAAGGAGTTGAGCAATAGTCTCCTTGTACATGTCCCTTTGGTTTATACCCCTATGTGGACCCCAATAGACTGTTAGTAGAAGACACGGAAACCTGAGTTCAAGGAGAAGAGCTTTTTCATTTTCTAAAACTTAAAGCAGAATTGTGTGTGCCAGGTCTAATTTACTGAAATCTACCCCATTTCTGTCAGACCCTTTTGGGAGGTGTGAAGAGTGGAAGTTAGAGGGAAATGAGAAGAGAACCAGATGCATGGAAGGAGAAGAGAGAGAAGAGAGGTTCAACTGAAATCAGGATCCTAATAATAACTCTCCTAAGAATGTAAAATAGTTTTATTTACATTTTCGTGACTGGGCAGAATTAGAATTACCAGGCAGATGCTTTCATAGAATGATGGTTAGATTAGGATTTCTGTAAGGATTGACAACATACAAAAGGAGGGGTCAGTATAAAAATATTTCACCATAAATAGAATCAATGAAGGCGGAGAAAAGAATTAACAGTTATTAAGGACCTATGACTGTTACTGCAGGTTAATCTTTCTATAAGCTCTAGGAAGGAAACATTATTGTTACCATTTAATAGATGGGGACACTTATTCAGTAATAGCTTGACCTAAAAGTATACCCCTAATAAACTGTGATGATGAAAAATAAAACTAGGTTTGACCTGCTCTCAAAACTTATATTATTTCCATTTTATCTTGTTACCTCAGAACCTATTTATTACATAGAGATCCATATCTAATTGACTGATTAGACAGATACTATGTATAAAAATATATAAACTTATTAAGCATTGATTCCCATCTCCTTTTCCTTCTTTCTGCTTATTCCCCTCACAGGTATAAGATCAGGAGTTTTGAATCCTAGAATTCGTTTTTTATTTTATATTTTAGGACCAGTGATAAAAGGAAAAACTTGGCCAAACAAAAAGCAGAAGCTCAAAAGAGGCTGTATGGTAAAAATTCAGTGAGAAAGCTCCTACCAGGTTCCTCAGATTGGGAACAACAGAGACACCAGTTGGAAAGAAGGAAAGAAGAGTTGGTATGAAATTTTAACATTGCACCCACAGTCCGAGTTGCATAATTTATTTGTCACATTTTACATGTAAAATTTCTTCATTTCTAGAAAGAAAGACTTGCTCAAGTACGAAAGCAGGTCTCAAAAGAAGAACATGAAAATCGACATATGGGGAATTATAGGTAATTATACTTCCATTTTTTTTTTAACAGATTGAAGAAGTGGAGAAGTGGAGTGTCAAAATAAGGATTCCATCTTTTTTTTTTGAGCCTTTTAGGTTTATTTGACCATCTTTTCATTCACTTTGAGAAAGTGAACTTTCTTTAAACTTTACAGAAAGAAAAGATAACTAGTACATAGATGCTTTAAGTTTAGGAGAGCTTTTGCTGACCTTTTTAGAGTGATTGTGGTTTTTAAAACTAGATACTAACTTGTGGTCTTATTTACCTTTACAGTGGTTTTTGAGAAAACTTAAGTTTTTGGGTTTCAAGTATTTTTTCTATCAATTCAAAGTAGTTGTACTTTGCTCTAAAGTCAAATATATTGGGACCCAGAACATAACGAGGCCTTAGGTTAGAGACAATAGTGAGTATTGTGGATGCTCTGAATGGGAGCTCCAGAGTGTCACTGTTGACAGTGTAAAAGGGGGGCTCTCTGCTCCCTGTGATTTTGGAAAGACTGCTTCTCCAAATTCTTTTTTTCCCTTTTTTGGGTCACACCTGGCAATGCACAGGGGTTACTCCTGGCTTTGCACTCAGGAATTACTCCTGGCAGTGCTCGGGGACCATGTGGGATGCTGGGAATCGAATCCAGGTCGGCCGCATGCAACACAAATGCTTTACCTGCTGTACTATCACTCTATCCCCCACTTCTTCCAATTCTTGACAAGGGCTTGAGACTAAAGAGATTCTTTCCTTACTAGTAGTATTTTTTCCTTTTTCTTTTCTTTCTTTTTTTTTTTTTTTCTTAACACAATAGTAGTTGTGAGAAACATATTTCTCTCACCCTACCTATTTCCAATGATCTTAACTGGAGAGGCAAATTCATTACTTTTAAAGATATCATCAGGCTTAATTTTTATATTATTACATACTTCAGTGATCACACTATGCCCAACATTTCCAAATCATTCCCCGTCACTTGAAACCTCTTCCATAAAATTTTATATTTTACAATTTCCTGATTGCATTTCTTTCCCAATCAACTTCCCCTAACCAAGCCTTACTCAGTGTTTTCTGAAACTTCATTGTTTAATTGTTATTCTTCAGACTTTGGGTAACAAATGCACATCTGTGAAATTTATCATAATTATAATTAATCTTTATTTCTAGCACTTAGTAAAGTGACTGGCACTAAGTATGTAGAGATTATCAGTGACAGTTGATTTAACTCATGTCCTGTTAGTTTTATTAGACAAATTGTTTTGTTTTTATTTTAGACGAATTTATCCTCCTGAAGATAAAACACTGCTTGCAAAGTATGAAAATTTGCTGGCTGTTGCCTTTCAGACCTTCCTTTCAGGAAGAGCGTCTTCATTCCAGCGGGAGATGAATAATCCTTTGAAAAGGATGAAGGTAAATAAGCAGCTATTTATAAATAGATAAAAAATGAAGCCTTAGACATAAGTCTAAGATGCCTTAGACATAAGTCCATGGGCTAAGCATATGTTAATACATGTAGGAAGCCCACCTTGGATTCCTCGGCACTGCATGGATTTCCAAGTTACTCCCAGCAGCAGGTAGAGCTCAGAGTAGGTCCTGAGCACTGCAAAGTGTGGCTCCAACCCCTTCCCTTCACCCAAGAAAGAGAAACCATGAAATATGTCCTTCAGAACAACTCACCTAGTCCCACATGTAAAAATATTTTAGTTTTAAGATGCATTTTCTTATCTTTTTAATAGCTGGGACCATTTTGTTATTAAGTAATTTTATAAATGAAATATCTCATGGGGCAAATTAGACAGGAGAGAATGTTTTTGTTTGTTTTTGCTCTGGGGCCATGCTCAGCAGTGCTCAGGGGCTGTTCCTGGTTTTCTGTTGAGCAGTGACTCCTGATGATACTCAGAGAGTCATAGGGGGTGCCAGGGATTGAACTGGGGTCAACCACATGCAAGGCAAGTGCTTTATCCACATTATTTCTTTGGTCCTTCAGTAGAGAATGTGGATTTTCATATTGTCATATTAATCTATTATAATAAAAATATCATTTCAGAGATGTATATATGTAACTGAATTTAAAAAATACATTGAATTAGCCTAGTGTTTTGTGATGCTCTTGTTATTTGGACTGTAACATTATTTTTTTTCTTTTATATACTGTGTAGTTAGAACATCTGGACAGCTAAGAGGTTTTTCAACATGGTTTCTCTACATGATTTCTCAGCGTTGTGATTATATATAGTGAGTGAGTGTGTGTGTGTGTGTGTGTGTGTGTGTGTGTGTGTGTGTGTATGTCACTTACCCTGGGGTCACACTTTATCTAAGTTTTTTTTTCTTCTTTTTGGTGGGAGTGGCTTTTAAGTAGTGATCAGGAGCAGTTTTTGACAGACTAGGCCATAAGTTCAGTGCAAACTCTCCAGGAGCAATGGTACTTGGGCTTTGCAGTACTACTGGTACTGGGTATTTGCTGGGCCACAATGCTGGGGGCTCTTGGGCTTGTAATGCTTGAGACTACATGGTGTTGACATTGAAACTGGATCTGGCACATGCTAGGCATGTGTCCTAACCACTGTACTATCTCCTGGCCCCTTCATCAGATATCTTAGAATGGTAATTTGTGTTAACGTAAGTGAACATTTCAAGAAGACAAGCCCAGTATGTAAATGCTGGTCCAGTCCTTGAATCATGCTTGCTAATGTCTTACTGGACATAGAAGTTTATGTAGACTATTTAAACTTTGTATTATTGATTATCTCCATAAGGTGATAGTCCAGTGTCTTAAATTCCTTGTTAGAGAGCATGATTTAAAAGTCCTAACAGGGACCAGAGAGATACTACAGAGAATAAGGCACTTGCTTTATATGGGTCTGACTTGGATTGATCAACACCACATATGGTTCTCTGTGCACATCCAGGAATGGACTGTGAGCCCAGAGCCAGGAGTTAGCACTGGGAGTACCCAGATGTATCCCGTTCCCACCCCTATTATAAAAAAAAAAGTCAATTACAATAAAAGCTGTTGTGGAGAGGATTTCTTTTTATTTATTTCTTTTTCTTTTTGGGTCACACCCGGTGATGCTCAGGGGTTACTCCTGGCTCATGTGCTCAGGAATTATTCCTGGCAATGCTCGGGGGACTATATAGGATGCTGCAAATCAAACCCAGGTTGGCCAAGTGCAAGACAAACGCCCCACCTGCTCTGCTATGGATACAGCCCCAAGAGGTTTTTTTTTCCTTTTTCTTTATGCTGTTGTTTTTGCTGTAGTTCCCACTTATATTCTACAACAGAAGGATCAGAAGATATAAAGCCACTCTCAAGCTGACTTGACCACAGGAGAAAAAACCTGATCTTTTACTTCAGTTTTTCCTGTTTTACATATGCAGGTGTTTCTACCATTAGGCTTATGATTTGTTGCCATTTTATTTTTCTTGACACAAATCTTGAAATCTTTTGTTTTTTTTTTCCTTTGCCTACTCTGTAATATTATTTTTCTCTCCTGTAAATATCAGATCTTTCTTTCTACTTCTCATTACTCCTTCTCATACCTCCATTTCTTTTTCCTGCTTTTTGAAACACAAAGATACATTACATTAAATTCTAACTTCTACCTGTGTTGATTTTATAATCTTAGACTAAAGTATTGGATGACTAGTTTCTTAATTACTAAAATGGTAGTATTAAAACTAAACTTGAAGGGTTGTTTGTGAAAATAAAATCAAGGTTGATGAAAACCTGTAAGTTCTTAGCACCTAATTATTAGGATTAAAATCGAATTCCTTTCTTCCTTTTATTATTGAAAATCCAGTTTAAATGGCACTATTTCACCTGTCATATTTGACCTGCTTGATCTGCAAGCCTGTTATTTAAAAAAAATTAAAATACTTTTATTGATTAAAATTCTGTAATTTACAATGCTATTTATGTTTCTCATGCACATAATTCCAACACCTCAACCACTACCAGTGTACCCACCTCCCTCCTCCAAGGATCCCAACACCTTTTGCTTTCTTTCTTTTTTTTTTCAATTGAATCACTATGAGCAACACTTACAAAGCTGCATTCATGTTGTAGTTTCAGTCATAAAATGATCGAACACCCATCCCTCCACCAGTGCACATTTTCCAACACCATTGTCCCAGTATTGGTGTCCCAGTCCCCCGCTCCCCATCCTAACTCTCCTCGTCTGTATGGCAGACAGCTTTCCCCACACTCTCTCTCTACTTTTGGGCATTATGGATTGCAGTACAGATACTGAGAGGCTATCACATTTGATCCTTTATCTACTTTCAGCACACATCTCCCATCCCAATCTATCCCTCCAAACATCATTGACTTAGTGATCCCTTCTTTATTCCAGCTGCCTTCTCCCCCAGCTCATGAGATAGGCTTCCAGCCATGAAGCAGTATTCCTGGATCCTGTGTCTACTGTCCTTGGGTATCAGTCTCATATTATGTTATTTTATATTCCACAAATGAGTGCAGTCATTCTATGTCTGTCCCTATTTTTCTGACTCATTTCACTTAGCATGATACTCTCCATGGCCATCCATTTATAAGAAAATTTCATGACTTCATCTTTCCTAATAGCTGCATAGTATTCCATTTTGTAGATGTACCAAAGTTTCTTTAACCAGTTGTTTCCAGAATCTGGAAACAACTAGCACTCGAGTTGTTTCCAAATTCTGGCTATTGTGAACAGTGTTGCAATGAACATAGAGGGGTACAGGTCATGGTGTGTGTGTGTGTGTGTGTGTGTGTGTGTGTGTGTGTGTGTAATTTCTACTGTGCTTTTTTGCACCCTCAGGATACCACTTCTGGGAATATACCCCTCTCTTTCAACTCTTTCCCCCAACCTCCTCCAATTCAGTTGTGTGGGTCAGGGCACCCATTGTGTTGTCTTTGGCCCTTTGTTGCTACCTTGTTGTGTAGAGTTAAATTCCAAAATAAAAGATCATTTTGTATCTACCACTTTCTTTCTAATTAGTCATTCAGCATTAGTTCCACAAAAGTTGTTGCAAGTTGCATTATTTTGTTCATCTTAGAGCTACATAGTTTGTGTGTATGTGTGTGTGTGTGTATGTGTGTGTGTGTGTATGAATAAAAAAGCACAACTTTTGGATCCATAGTTGAGCATTTGGGTTGTTTCCATTACTGGCTATTACACTAAAGAGTGACAGTGAACATAGCCATGCATATATTCTTTTGAATTAATGATTTTGTGTTTGGGGATACATGCCAAGAAGTGGTATTTGTTAGCATATTCTTAAAAAATATCACATTATCTTCATTACTTCTGCTTTGTAGTGTTGATGTCATAATGCAAGTTGTCCAATTTCTTCTTTATCAGATTTTTTTGGCTTTTCAGACTTTTAAATTTCCATATAAATTTTAGAGTTGACTTGAGACTTAGTTAAAATAAAGTTTTCTGGAAATTTAATTGATATAAGGAACTAAAGTCTGGAAAATTAATAATAATGAGTGTACTGATATGTATGGCACACATTTTTGTGTGTCAGCAAAGGTAAATATAATTGCTAGTATAATTTTATAAATGTTTCCTTTTTCTGTTGTCAGTGTAAGCTTGATTACTTTTGTATAATGTGACTATATCGTGTGTGTGTGTGTGTGTGTGTGGTGCTGAGGCATACACTTTACTTTTGAGCAACCTATTTCAGTCTTATAATGATATTAATATATTATATTTTTATTAACTGCCAGTTCAACTTATTTTCTGATTTTTATTTTTGTTGTTTCAAAGTTTTTGCTTCATTTCCATCTATTTAAAATATGAAAGTTTTGTTTTTGCTGAGAATTTTTGGTCTAACTCTTTAGAAATATGTCTTAGTTTCAGTCCTAGAAACTGAGTTAAACCTTACTTTCTCTCAATTTGATGTTTATTTTAGTGAATGATCTAAGTCTTCTTAAAAATAATGAATATGCTACAGTTACTGGTTGTAGGATTTTATGCATTTCACTGAAGTTAATATGGCTTCTATTTATTCAAACCTTCTATATATTTTTGGATTGTTTTAGCCCACTTATTCTAATAATTATTGATAGATAACTCTTAAAACTTCTAAATGAAATCATGGATCTAGTGCTGTTCATTTTTATTTTACATTCTTTAAATGTAAAATAAATGTGGCCGTGTGACATCTTATTATCTCATTCTTACTTTGGACAAACTGGCAGGCTATTGAATGTAACCTGCCCACACAGCAGAGTCTGGCAAACTCCCCGTGGCGTACCCGATATGCCAAATACCAGTAACAATGAGGGGTCTCATTCCCCTAACCCTGAAAGAACCTTGAATATGGCACTTTTTAAAAAATCTCAGGGCTAGGACGAAGGAGACGTTACTGGGGCCTGCTCGGGGCAATCGATGAATAACAGGATGGTTGTGATCGTGATCGTG